CTGGTATGACACACCTAAAGCAGCACGGGGCCCATTGTTCCAGATTATGTAAACTGCTGAAGCAGCTTTGGGTATTTGGTGCAATGGAAATATAAAAAGGTAAAGGTGAAGGTTTTCCCTTGACATTAAGTCCAGTCATGCCTGACTCTAGGGGGCGGTGCTCATCTCCGTTTCCTAGCCGAGGGAGCCAGCGTTTGTCCACAGACAGTCTCTGTGGTCATGTGGCCGGCATGACTAAACACCGAAGTGCACGGAACGCTGTTACCTGCCCACTGAAGTGGTACCTTTTTATCTACTTGCATTGCATGCTTTCGAACTGCAAGGTTGGCAGGAGCTGGGACGGAGCAGCAGGAACTCACCCCGTTGTGCAGATTTGAACCGGCGACGTTTCGATCTACCAGCCCAGCAGCACAGCGGTTTAAACCACTGCGCCACCATATAAGAAATAAATAACTGCCCCTGGTAAACCTGCTTTTCAGATAGGAGTCATTTTTTTAAGGACTACAAAAACATGTTTGTAGGATGTTTTCAAAATATATCATGTTCAAGAGGATGTGGCCAGCTGTTGTTGCGATGCAGTTCCCAACAGAAAGGAGATATATAGCAATCATAATTGTTTTCTATTGGATAAATATAGGCTGGTCTGAGAGCAATATACGTGTCTTTGAATTTCACAGGTCTTATATCAGACACAATGATCATGAATTACCTGAAAGTTCCATGAAGCCCAAAAGCCGACATACACCAATCTTGGTTCTTTTACTGGGTCAGCTAATTTTATATCCTGTGCACTGTATGTTAATTATTAATACAGCCTTACACATGTTCACTCAGATGTAACTCCTATTGAGCTCATGTTCGTATAGCACGATTCCCAACCTAGGGTATGTGTACAGGGTACAAAACAGAACATATTGGGGTATGCAAAAAAATTGAATAATGGTGGGAAACGGCACATGTGACAACATTTGTCTTAGAAGTAAAAGTTGTGAAATTAATTGAACCTTATGATGAGTGATGGAGTGGGTTTTCTTCATTGTTTAACCTCAAGAAAAGCCCCATTCCCTGCTTTGTTATTTTGGAGAGTGGTGGGAAGCCCCTCCTTAAACAAGGTGTTGTGGCCATTATAGCAGGCTGTGACCTGCCCCTCACAGGCTCCGCTTTCACTCTCCTCTGTTTCAGGAACATTTGAGTGCTGTTGTGCCTTTATTGGTTTATAAAAAGCAGGCACCTCAGTCAGTCTGGTGAACATTGTTCTGTGCACCTCCAAACAAACTCAAGGATCATACTAAACATTTGTTCCTTATAAAATATTTGCTGCGTGTTCAAAACATATTAACATTTCCCAATAATTAAGAAATTAAACAAATGTAATGCAGTTTTTTAATGCCATCTGTGATGTATTTACTTGCATTTATTGTCTTTTTTGAGTTTTGAATGTAAATAGATATGCACCGTATCATTCCATTGCCTTTTGATCCCATTATTGGGCATTTATTTGCAGTTACAACATACAAATTTGAAATAACAGCAACTATATTAATGACATACATTAGGTAAGATGAAGGGCACAGTTTATGGAAATGGGTTGCCAAGGGGCATGGAAGTGAAAAAAGGTGTATAGGGTTATGTGTGTATAGGGTTGCGGCCAACAGAGCACTGTGTTCTTTTGCCTGGCAAATGAAAAAGGAAGGAAAATAATGTGTGAACAAAAATGTTTCTTTGGAACAGTAGCAAGGAAGATATCACTCTCTAGAAGTTGTCTGAATGTGGTTTTCATTAACCCTAGACAGTGTAGCCAATAATGAAGAGTTGTCATTTTGCAACAACTGAAGGGCCACACATTTCCCATCCCTGCTTTAGATCATCTACGAAAACATGGCATTTACCAGTGTTTTTTCCCTTTCATTCTTCTACAACCATGATTGCTATACCTTAATCTGCCGCTTTCTGGGTCCACTCCCCTACGTCTCCAGCAGCACCCCCAGTTCTTCCAGGCCCATCTCTCAGAGATGTGTTCTCTTCTAAACTTCACATGGACTTGGGATAGTAAATCCAAAGCCTTCCAGTTTGCTCCCCCAAACCCCTATCCTTCCTTCCATCCTTCCATCCTCCTTCTATAGGTGGTAATTGGGGTCCTGGCTCTGGATTAACACCCCCAGCAGACACATTTACACATAAGGAGTATGGAAAGCTGGAAAACAGCCCAGGGTCTGGGAAGTGCTTGGGGACATCATGTACCCAAGATGTGGGGCAGGGGGAACACTGGGACTTGGAGAGCATCCGCAAAGAATGGGCCATGCCCTTTGCCAGAAAACAGTCCCCGTCGCATGGCCAGCTTCAATTCAAAAGTCAGTTCTGATGACTGAGAGCCTCAGGCACTGTTGTGAGCCCACCTCACTTCACTCCCAATGTGTCATTGTGGTCCGGAAGGATTTGCACCATTGAAACATGCCCAGAGCAACAGCAACACACACCAGTGTTTTCATGGAACTCTACTCCAGCTGCTGCCTCCTTAACTGTATTGTATGATGTTGTGTTGTTCCCATATAACAGATCAGACTTCCCAACCTGCTGCCTTCCAGGTGTGTTGGGCTACAGCGCCCAGAAACCCATCATCCCCTGTTTGGAGAATAGATCCTATAAGAATTCAGACCAGTCTCACACTCACAGGAACCCCTACAAGCATATATGGGGTTTCCTTATTCTAGGCATTTGTTGACTTTTTCTTCATGCATGTTTGCTCCATTAACTTTTATCCTCCTAGATTTTCTTCCATATTTTAAAAAGGTGCGTTTACTGAAGTAGAAGGCAAAAACATTTAAGTGTAATTGATTGATCACTTAAAAGACCCATAGAATCAATCACCAACAAATTCTTTGGTTGATGTGCAAATGCTATTGTTGATATCCAAAAATGTGTGTGCCAATAGGTCTATTCTCAGCCTGATTAAAATTGGATCCAACTCCTTGTTAAATTCCTATGAACTTGAGAGGTTGGGAGCAGATTTAGGCTGGCACAGAAGTAGGCATATCTGCCCTCTTATTCCTTGCCGGCTGTGGAAAGCTATAGTGTGGGGAGTCAAGATTCCTGAAATCAGGCAGAGACACCATGCAGTAGCGGCCAGATCCTGGTTCCAGCCCTAGATTTCTGTGTGACAAGATCTGAACTTTCCATTTAGAATGCCCATGGACTTATTTATTTATTTATTTATTTATTTATTTATTTAATGCATTTCTATGCCACCCAATAGTCAAAGCATTCCAGGCAGTCTGCTAAACTTTGGAGTACATCGAGATGGAGGCAATTATTCCATCTTTTCTTGCTGCCAAAAGTGTGTGAATAGGTCAGGGTGAAATTTCATCTGGGGGGTATAGCTCAGTGGTAGAGCATTTGACTGCAGATCAAGGGGTTCCTGGTTCAAATCCAGGTGCCCCCTCAAGAATTTTTGTTGGCGACATACAGGTATGTGAGGGGATGCCACATGGAGATGGGTAGAGACCTGTTCTCCCCTGCAGAGGAAGGCAGGACATGCTCCAATGGAGCAAAGCCCAGGGAGCCAAGGTTCCATTTGGATGCCAGGAAGCACTTCCTGACAGTCAGGACCCCGAGGGTGTGGAATGGGCTTCCACGGGGGGGTCGTTGAGGCCCCATTGGTGAGGGTGTTCAAAGATAGGCTGGACATGCACATGGTGGGCATGTCGTGAGTGGAGCCGGCTGGAGCCGGGGTCAGACTAGATGGCTCGGGAGGCCCCTTCTGACTTGCTCTGTTTCTATGTTTCCATAACAGCAGGGATGTGAAGATGCAGGGCGGCAGGATTAGCCTGTGCCAGGTCGTCCTTCTGTGAGAGGGCGCTGCCACTGTGCATCCCTGCTCTGACCTGTGATCCTGGATTGGCAATACCAATAGGGTCTCAGTTGCTGGCATACCCTAGTGGGGAAAAACAACAGGGGGTGACCTGTGGGGGGAATTCCTCCAGCTTCATCCCCTCGCGGAAGCCCTGGAGGAAGCCCTGGAGCGGAGTGGGGTGCTGGCTAGACTAAATCCATCTCACAGGCTGGAGGTCCTGCAGCACAATATAAACTGATGCTCCTATGGGTTTATCTGACATATACTTGTTATTTGTTTACAAAAAATCATGTAAGAACTTCATCAGGATGCATTATATGGAGGAATAATTTTGAATCCATGGTGTGTGTGCATGGAGTGTCCATGTGGCCTCTTTTACAGAGGGTAGTTCTCTGTCCTGTCCACTTCTTAATGATGAAGGATCACCAGGACTGCTGTTGCCCATCAACAGCTGGAGTAGCTGGACTGCCCCCTCATCCTTGACACAAGCACAAGAAGTTCTGCATTTTTGTTTAAATTGTAATAATGCTGTCTGAAATCAGCACATGGAAATTACTCCTGCAGTGATGTGTTTCCCTGGTTGAGTGATTCATAAGTGGCCACCCAAATGTGTGTGTGTTTCCCTTAGAGTCTAGTGAAAAAAATATGGATAGGGCTGGTCCTACCATTAGGCAGAGTGAGGCACCTGCCAAGTTCAACATGGATCACACTGTATTATCATTCCCGCTATTTATGATGTTTGGGCAGTGAGCATAATTGCCTATGTGGTCAAAACAGTGCCACCCATCGATAAAAAGAAGGCACTGGCCGTCTTGCAGGAACTCCCAAGGTCAGTGGAAGGACAAAAAAGTCCTCATGGGAAGAAAAAGCACCAGAAACAGCCTACTGACAGCTGAGCCTGCTTCGTGGCCACAGACTGGTTGGGGGCCCCAGGCTAATGCTTAGGGGTGGGCAAAAACTCTCTGAGGCTGAGGGCAGAATGGACTGGTTGGAACCCCAAATAGCAGCATCCCCCACTTATGCTGTTCATGGTTATTAAAGAGCACCGGTTTTGAATCGGTGAGCACAATTCTCCACAGCTGCTGAAGTGGTTCATCATTGCCACCCTTTTATTCATGCCCCAATTTCCCTTTCTTCCATTCCTCTGCAGCAGCAAAGAAGAAAGAGGTGAAGAAGGAAGCCCCAAAGGCAGAAAAGAAAGACGAAAAGAAAGACGAAAAGAAAGAAGAGAAGAAAGAAGAGAAGAAAGAAGAGCCAAAGGGTAAGAACAGGGGTTCCATTTTGAGATGCTGAAGCACTTGTTGACCAGCTGGAAGGCTCACACCCTGCCTGTGGGTTCGAAGAATGAAGAACTGTGAAGAAATCCTGCTTGGTTGGTTAATAGGATGCCTTAGCAGGGGAGTAGAGAATAATGCATTGATGTGGCAGCAATGACGCTATCACCTTTTCAGCACCAGACAAAGCTGTACTTATTTTCCTGGGCATTTGGATATTCATTATGGCCTAATTCTTGTGAAGTGCTTTTGTGGTTTTATCCCAGTGTGTGAGGGACAAGAGAGGGGGATTTTCTGTATTCTAGATTAACACTTTTCATTCCTTAGATTATATGTTATGGTGTTTCTTCTTTACTTGCATTATTGTGCTGATTATTAATATTGATTTGAGGTTTTATTATTATATTAGTTAAGGACTTTGGTATTTGTGTGGGTAAGTCATTTTCAGTCTGCTTTTTCAGATGCATCAACAACATCATGAAAGAAAAGGATGGAAAATAAGTAGACAACAATATCCTGGAATATAAAAGGGGATGGAGTAAACTGCTAATTTCCCAATCCAGGAATATTTTCCAGACTTTGGGCAGGCTGTGATTTAGGGAAAATAGAATGCCTCCAGGGTTTGGGTCAAGGATCTAACATTTTTCCCTCTTTTGTGCCCATCAACAGCTGCAGAACCTGCATCAGGAGGTGAGATCCAAACATTTCAATTTGGGGCAGGGCGGGTTATGACAAGTGGATGAGTGGAGAGCTTGCATATTGCAGAACTCCATGAGTCTTTCCATGCATGCAGGGATGTATCCCTCCTATCATTTAGCCTTCCTCTGCCTGTCAACCATTCTGGGCCTCCCCTTGGGACAGTGGGGAAGTTGAGATGTCTCCTGGTTGCCCAAGTTGCCTCGAGGGTATGCTATCAGCAGCTGGCCCCAGGCACTGCAGCAGCCTACCGTTCTTCCTGGGACGCCCATAACAGCGGTACCCATCTCCATGGATGGCCCGTCTGTTGGGACAAAGGAAAGAAAACTCCACCTGAGTTCATCCCATGTCCTTCCCGCTGCCCCGTTCTTAAAAGAATCACAGTTGCCTCTGTGTAGAATCCTTCCACCAGCTGAAGCATGCCCTAGATTTAGTTGGCTCCCCCACTTGTTAGAACATGTTGTTCTTGTCCTGGTGACACCCTGACTCCCCCTCTGCAGCTCACCTGCCACTCCACCAACCAGCATCCCCGAATCACCCCAGTGCTACTTTCTGCTGCTAGCTCACTGGTAAGATGTGATGCACCATAATCTTTCTTCTTCTCCATGCTTTTCAGAGGAACCCAAAGGGGAAGCCGCCGATGGATTCTTTCTCAAGAAGCCAGAAAGCCAGTTAATAGAGAGTGGTAAGTGGTGGAATGGAATAGCAGCAGAGCCTCACAAAATCAAAGAACATTCATGCAAAGCCGTTTTTTAATGAACACTTTTTCCATGAGTTTGGTGTTTGGGGCTGTCTTTGTGGAAGTTCCTATATGTTCTTCTACACATCTGCTAAAGGCCCAGACGCCCTGTCCATCCATGTGCCTGCAAACACCTCTCATTGTCTGCCAGGTTCTTTATTTTTATTATTTTAAAAGACATTTACATTAATTAGTTTTAACTTCCACACTGCCATTCTTAAAAGGCAAAGTAGTGCCCTTTGGCACCATTTGTGTTTTAGCTTAAAACAATGTTTTTGTATTTTGCAGGTTAGGCCTGCCCTCTGCCTTGCACCTAGGTTCTTGGGCAAATTCATTTTCCTTTGTTTCCACCAGTTTGCCTTCTGGAAAACTGAGTGCTTTGCAGTTAGCTGTGCCCAGCATGGCAGCCATTTTATGACTGGACAGGCCATTTTGTGAGAGCACCCATGATGCTCTTAGAATTCCAGATATGTCCACCCACCCAAAGAGGTTGGGGACCACTAGTATGGGCTCACTGTGCGGGGAGCCTAATTTTTCCCTTCACCACGGCCTCACTTTCGGTGTGGTGTTTTTCTCCAAGCTTTCTTCTGATGGAGCAAGGGAACCAGACAGGGGGAAACAGCACCTGCCCAATAGAATAGAGCACCCATCTGAGTTTGCGTGCTCCCATGAGCCTTACTGTGCTAATAGCACCAGAATAGATTCTCAGATCCATTAAGTGTGGTTTCAGTGGCAATTAGCCTGGTCTAAGTGGTCAACTGGCAAGGAGTTTGCTCGGGGAATGTTGAAAACTAATTCATTGTGATCTGCACTTTGGGATAAATATGATTAGAACTAGCAGTCTCTTAAACCAACATTACTCCTAACCTGGTCCTCCCTTCCCCAATACCCATCATCTGCATCTAACTGGACTGATAATCAGGAATGCTGGAGGTTCTGGTCTAGTACACCCAGGGGGCCCCAGTTTGGGGAAGGTGAATCCATACAGACTGGCAGCTGCTCGAAAGGCAGATGCTTTTCGAGAGGGGGGCATCTTTTCCATTTCTGCCTGGAGATGCTAAGGACTGAACCTGCAACCTTAGGAAGGCCCCATGTCCTGCTTTACTTGAAGGACTGCCAGGTTTAAATGTCCAAAAGCATCGGAGGTGGGAGTGCTCTGGGGCCTTGATGCTGCTCACCAACAGGTAACACCTGAACGGCAAATGGAACAGAGAGGCACAGAAGTCTCCTGGCTGCAGTCATCCTTACTGTGGAGAGAGGGGCCTCTATTTAAATATATTTAAATTATGTAGTCATTATTGATGGATTTGCATCCAGAAATGTACATTTCAGGCAGAATGATGCCCTGTTTTGTCCTCTCCTTTGGTGATGCATCTCTTCTTTCTTGGCAATGTGTAAGCTCAGTGGCAGAACTCTTGCTTTCTATATAGAAAGTCCCTGGTTCAACCCCTGACATCTCTAAGCAGGGCTGGAAAAATGCCTCCTGCAGCACTAACAAGCCAAGGCCCATCAGTATTGGCAGCCTCTTCATGTTGCTATATTCCCATTGGCCACCATAAACTTTCTGCATGCACAGTGTATGTTCTGCTACTGAGCTTTTGGGCTTTGGCTCTGTCCATCTTGTAGGTGCAAACGCTGAGATCCTTGGGATGTGGATGTGGCTTTTCTTACCCTACCACATTGCCCTTTGTTGGGAGAGGGCCATTATTATTATTATTATTATTATTATTATTATTATTATTATTATATTATTATTAGAACATTTCTATGCCGCCCCTTGCCGAAGCCTCGGGGCGGCTTACAAACACAATAAAATACAATAAAATACAAAAATAACAATATAAAATTAAAATTAACAATATAAAATAAATAAAAATATAAAATATAAAAGAAGTTGCCCTGGCCAGATAAATAAGCAAATATTGTTAACAATTAAAGTGACGTTTAAATAAAAAGGTCTTCACCTGGCATCGAAAAACAATTAACAACGGCGCCAGGCGGACCTCTCTGGGGAATGAAGTGGGGGAATGGACACCCTGAGCTCTGTGCCTCTTTTGCAGGAAAGGATGTGATGATCAGCATCCACGTGGATGGGTCTCAGCTCCCCGGCAAACCCACGGTCAAATGGTTCAAGGGGAAATGGCTGGAGCTGGGCATTAAGAGTGGGCTGCGGTTCCAGTTCAAGGAGAGCTTTGACAAAGACAAAAATGTAAGTCCCTGGAGAAGGAGGTGAGGAATCAGCAGAGGTACATACCTGCTTTCTAGCAAAGCTCCTTTCAGATTGCTAGCAATGGTTATGGCAAGGATAGGCCAGTGGAATGGAAGGGGTGGATGACTCCCCACCTGGCCATCCACAGGCTGAATTATGTCAGGGGACAGAGCCATGTGCCACTGAGCTATTTAGTCCCCTGCTGACGCAGAGGGAGGAAGATTCTCCTGGTGCATTTGCTGGGAACCAACTTTGCTCTGTTGATGTTCTCCTTCCTAAACATCCTGAGAATTATAGTTTGCAGAGGTGGCTGAGAATTCTTTCAGTATAAGGTCCTTAAGCCACTGCCCCAAAAAGCACAATTCCAGGGCTGAACCTGTTTCAGCTTATAAAGATGCCCTTAAAGCACCTGTGCTTCTCAGGGCCCATGTCAATTGAGAGCTGGGTCTACATGTCCTTGATCTGACTTCCAGAGTATTTTACTGTGCTTTGAGACTTTGTCTAGCAATTCAATAGTCTTTGAAGCCTTTTCAAAAGTTCAGCTTTTTAATGCAATGGATTAAGTGCTTGTACGTGGAAGAATCCACTGGAACCAAGAGGTGTCAAGGTGCCCTCGTGTTCCAGTGAAATTGCATTTACCATGCATTCAAGCCATAATATTTGTCTCTGGCAAAGGCAGCCCTGCCCCAGCTAGTACATTCATAGCTCTTGCAAAAGCTCAGTGAAATGTGACTGTGAATGCCACAGGCATTCATTGGTAGTGCCTTTAACATCAGCAGTAGCACAGCTATTTCTCTCTCTGTTTCATTTTATTGGATTTTTAAAATTGATTTAGGCTGAGAACTTCTCTGCCATATCACACAACTGCTCATAAATGCTATTTTACTTTATTTTATTTAATACATGAGCCCTGGAAATTAAGAATATCCCTGCTCTGAGAGGAATACCTCCCTCATTTTGTGAACATGTACTCGTCTTTTAAAACATCATTTAGCTCTTTGCACCTCACTACTGCTGCAATGCCCCCTTTCCTTGCTTTCTTTAAATGAGCGAACATAAGCAGGACCATTCCTGCCATCAAGCTGTTTGTCTGTAACGAGGATAGTCTTCTGTCCCTCCACTAGGTGGGGACAGGATATTGGTTTCTTCCACTGGACTGAGTTAGTGTGCATCCAGCACTAATGATAATGCTCAACCAGTGGAGAGTTCTTTAGCCTCAAGTTTTTGAAACAAGAAAATCAGAAACCTTAAAGTGTGACTGAGAAAAGGAATGGAAAACTCACTGGTTTCAACTGTGTGAATTTTGCGCATGTCAAAGATTCACGGAAAGCTGTGGGACTTAAGTGCTTCCCAGTCCTCCAGATGCGCTGGACTGTAACTTTCAGCATCCCCAGCCAGAGTAGCCATTGGTCAGGATAGCTTTGGAGGGGATGGAGGGAGACACCTGAGCAGGAGGATCAATACACGGGATTGAGCAGTGGGTAACCCTTCCATGGCTGCTGGTTTTTCGAAGAAAATCTCCCCTGGAACCACTTTTCCATCACCCATTCATTTCTAGCCAGATTCCCAGACTGGCTGTAGGGGTTGAAAGGATAAAAAGAAAAAAAGGCCTGTTGGGTCCTTGGAAGTAGAGAATCAGATGACGAAGGAACACTAAGGTGCATTTTCAGAACCCACCCAGAGTTTTCAGATGGCCACGTCCCACCCTCTTTCTCCAACTAATAGTTGTTTGGTGGTGCCGTTCCCCCCTCCCCCACCTTAAAGATTGAATTGCCTTTCCTGAGACCAGGAAAGTTACCAGAAGTAAAAGCTTTAAGCTGAAATAAGCTTGTGCGTCCCCACCCACCGCCAGAATTTGGCTCCTGGGGGTTTCTCTGAATTGGCATTTTGTCTTAGGCTCAAAGAGGTTCTTCATCCCATGAATTGACCATTCTCCTCCCGCTACCTAATTTTACACTGTTTCTGCCTCCCTAGTTTGGAATCCCTTGTTTCATGGATAACATCCATTACTTTTAAGTGGATTTAAGTGTGCCCAGATTTGTCTGGACTGTGCCTGTGATATATTACAGTTGTTCGGGCAGAAGGGATCGGTCCCACTGAACATTCCTCATGCTTGTTGTTTACTTACTCCCAAAGGTTTACATCTACGAGCTAAAAATTGGCAAAGTGGTCATCGGAGACCGGGGAGACTATCGTTGTGAAGTGACAGCCAAAGACAAGTTTGACAGTTGTACCTTCAACATTGATGTGGAAGGTATTACCAGGAGACCTGCCTTAGAACCCTAAACCCTTCCACCACCTTTGGTGACTGCATCTGCTTGTGAGATCTTTAAAGCTGCCCAGCATAGAATTGGTGTTGTTTTTTCCACCTTTTCCTTGTGAATAAAGTCTTTTCAGACTACAAGGCTGCAGGCAAGGACTGTTCTATTATACAGATGGTTTTTAAGTGACTCTGGGAGCCTTTTATTTTTTGAGGAGCAGCATCAAACAAACAAACAAACAAACACTTTTGATGGCTCTCTTCTTTAAAAGGGGTCCATTACAGGTCCGTTACCTTTATACCTGCTTTAGATGGTAATGTGTAATATTTCACTTATTTCAAAATGTGGCAAGCCTTCCCTGCTGCACAGGGGAGCCCTGTCTTGCCAAATTTGCTGAATTGGGACCCTGGATCTGTGCCCCAAAGTCTTGCCCCAGCAGTACCATCATCCTCAGCAGATCACTCTCAGCCCAAAGCAACTGGAATGTAGATCATGAGACTTCCTTCCATCCGAGTGGTTCCATCATCTCTCATTGCCAATTTTCTTGCTTTACCAAATGCTTTGACTTCCTTGCTGAAAGAATTCAGGGCTGGCCTGATCCAGCCCAATGCTCCTCTCTTCCCATTGTGCCCAGAAGTCCTGGACCTCCAGGTTGCAGCACAGCACAGCGATATTGATGAGGCAGACTTGGGAAGAGGGTGGTTGTGGGTGGATGGGCTCCATTTCTGCCCCTGACATTCCTGAGCTGAGGTCCCCTCTCTTGAGCAAGAAACAGGTGGGGTTTAAGGGTTGCATTTCAGCTGTCGTTTCTTCTTCTTCTCTTCCAGCACCAAGGACAGAGGAAAGCAATGTACTCCAAGCTTTCAAACGGACGTAAGTGCCCATATGGAGCACAAGTGCTTGATTTAGGTCCAGTAGGGGGTGCTGCAGAGGAATGAGGGTCCTCTTTTTTGCTCTTCTTGCAGAGGAGAAGGCAAAGATGAAGTTTCTGGAGAGCTGGACTTCAGTGGATTGCTCAAAAAGAGGTAAGTGAAATCCAAATAAATGGGTACATGGAGGCAGGGTGCAAGAGGATCTTCAGCCACCTGGAATCCATTCTTCTGGCTTTCAATTAAAAATGCAAACTATCTTGTTTATTTATTTATTAGGATGTTTTTATCCTGTCCAACACGCATCATCTCTAGATGGCTTACAATATAACAAATGCTAATAATCTTGCAAACAAGAATATAATAATCTTGCAAACAAGTGTTACTAGTCTGAAGTAAGAGTTCCATTAAAGAAAAATAAGAAATATCCAAGTTTGGCTGGATTATTTTCCTTTATCTCAGAGTTCTGCTGTGCTAATAAGTCACAAACAGTAGTAACACTTGAAAGCCTTCTGAGCATTTTATTCTCTTGCTGGCCAAGTAGAGTCCAGCCTGAGCAGTCTGGCCAATGATGTCACCAGGACTGGTTCAGCAATACTTCCAGGGCTGGGTTTCCCAGCATTCTTCCTCCAAAGCACCATGGGTGGGAGTAAAGTAGATCTCCAGATATTTTGGATCACTTCCTAGCATCCCTGACTATAGCAGTGGAGGCAGAGAGATGTCGAGACCTGAAGACAATTGAACAAGGGCTGAAATGAATGCTTGGCCAGCTGAAACACTGATGTTCAGCAGAGCCTTCTTCAAAGAAGGATGGCCGCTAGGAGGGGGGCATTTTCTGCAGCTGCCCCCTCCCCCCCATCTGGACTGCTCTCCCCAAGGAGATTCACCTGGTACCTTCCTTACCTTCTTTTTGGTGCCAGTGAAGACCTTCCTTTTTAAAAAAATATTTTAATAACTAATTGCCATATGACCTTTTTTGTATTTCTGCTTGTATTTTATTGTTATCTTATTTTTAATGTGTCGTTATTGGTTTTTACTCTGGTTTTTCTCTTGTAACTGTGAGCCACCCAGAGGTCAGCGGGGGAATGTAAGTCTCTTATCTGTGTTAGCCACTGGGAATAGGGAGCGAGAGGGTGGTGGTAATTCTGAAATGCTCATGCCGGAAGGGTCCCTCTTTCTCCTCCTTCACTGCAGGGAGGTGCAACAGGAAGAGGAGAAGAAAAAGAAAAAGAAAGATGACGACGATGATATGGGGATCCCACCAGAGATCTGGGAGCTGCTGAAAGGTGTGACCAAGAAGAGCGAGTATGAGCGCATCGCCTTTGAGTACGGCATCACTGATCTGCGTGGCATGCTGAAGAGGCTCAAAAAGGCCAAGGTGGAGGTCAAGAAGAGTGCAGGTAGGAGCTGCCCGAGAGAGCATGGAATGCCTCCTGGCTCATGGCAGTAAGCCTTCAGACCATCTGAGCAGGCCTGCTGAGCAATCCGCTCAGAACACACGCCAGGATCCCCCAGCAGTCTTCATGGCAGCGGCAGCCCGTTGTGGCTTTAGTCAAGGGGGGAATCCAGTGCCATGCTGGCCCTTCTCCTCTCCAGAGAGCACTTGTGCTAGTCTTTTGCAACAAAAACAAGCACGAGTCTTGCAGCATATAAAACTCCGTTACAGACCTTGAGATGGCCATTGGAGAGCCAGTGTGGCGTAGTGGTTAAGAGCCTGGGACTGGGACTCAGACAACCTGGGTTCTAGTCCCCGCTCAGCCAATGAGCCAACTGGGTGACTTTGGGCCAGTCACAGACTCTCAGTCCAACCTACCTCACAGGGTTGCTGTTGTGGGGATAAGATGGAGGAGGAGAATGATGTAAGCTGCCTTGGGCCCTTTGCAGGAAAAAGGCAGGATATAAATCAATCAATCAATCAATCAATCAATCATTGTGATGCTAGGATGACATGCTGCAGGTTAGTATTCATTAACAGGTTTAATTTGGGCACCAGACGCTGCAATTGGGATAACAGATCTTCATCACATACATGTATTAATTGGCTTACCTGGTACTGGAACATTTGTTATCAGCAACAGCCACACTGTGAAAATACACTGTCAATAATGAGATTGTTGCCATCAGTACTTCCTGCATTGACTTTCCTTTTGATCTCTCCATTTACAATTCTACAGTATACAAGTATAGTGTATAAAAAGTCTCCTGTATAAAAAAATCTCCTGTATAAAAAACTCCTGAATGCTTCATGCAACTGATGAAGTAAACTATATACCACAAAAATATACACCAGGATGTATATATTTATGACACTTTTATGCAATTCCTTTAGTCAAATGACTCTCAGAATGCTTTACAACACATTAAAAGTTTAAAACATAACATGCAATGCCAAAATAGATTCAAATGATCCTGAGATGAAACCAGTAAAAATTGATGACAATAAAACAGAGTATAAAACCAAGCATATCATCTACTAAGAATAATTATAAAATTAATTAGATCATAAAGCAAATTGAACAAATGAATGACCACAGTGTATTATAAAATAAAATAAGTTAGACTATAAAATATTAACTATTAAAATGCTGAGAAAGTTAAAATGTTTTAGCCTGGCTCCAAAAGGTATATAAGATTGACTCCAGGCACACTTCTCTGAAGAGCTGGTTCCATAACCAGGGTGCTACAGCTGAAAAGGCCTTTCTCCAGCCCTTCTCCAGATATAGTTCATCTTTAAGATGCTACAGAACTGCTTTTGTACACTTTTCCTACACTTTCGATTTTGTGCTGAGGGGCAGACAGCCATCACCCAAGCACTCCATCAGACTGCTGTGGCAGAGGTGTTTAAATGAAGATTTCTTGGAATTTCTCCTAAACTGAGAATTGAGGTTCCACAGCTTAGAACAGGGAGGGACTGTGGATAAAGCAGGAGGAAGGAAAAGAAAGTGTATAGGCATGGACAGAGCTGGCCTTACCATGTGACGTGGTTACGTTGGCAGCAGATGCTGAGAAGTGGTAGCAAGGTACCCCCTAAACTAGTCTGCCACCTTCAAGCTGGGCGGATGATGCCATCCTAGAATACCACTGTTACAAAAAGATGCAGCTAAGAAGGCTGTTGGCATTTGTACATAGAATGGGAGCGGGGCACCATCTTTTCTGCCTCAGGTAGCAAAATATCTGGAGCTGGCCATGAGTAGAGAGTGAAAACAAATGTTTCAGGTTCTCACCCTTTGCCATACTTTTTGTAGCCTTCATTAAAAAACTGGACCCTGCCTATCAAGTGGACAAGGGCCAGAAAATCAAGATGTGGGTGGAACTGAGTGACCCAGACCTGAAGATCAAATGGTTGAAGAATGGGCAAGTGATCAAGCCCAGTGGCAAGTGAGTCTGCGAAGCCAAGGACGCCCGGATGGTGTTCTACAAGATCAGAATTCCGGTGGAGGGCAGCGGCATGGGAGAGCTGTGATGGAGGTACGTGGTTACCTCTGGATCCATCTCACTTTGGCTCAGTTGCATTTGCTTCTTCCTGCTTGTGAATAGGTACATCTTTGAGAATGTGGGCAAGAAGCGCATCCTGACCATCACCAAGACAACACTGGCTGATGATGCAGCCTATGAATGTGTGGCTGGGGATGAAAGAACTTCCACAGAGGTCTTTGTTAAAGGTGAGGAGAGCGAGCAGCACAGCACGGCCAAGCAAGATGGCAGGGTTAGCAAGATGCAGTGGCATCCTTGAGGGTGGGCAGAGGGGGTTGGGAAGGGTGCCTGAGCAAGGTCCCTGCTATGCTCTCTGTTTGCCCCTAGAACCACCCGTCCTGGTTGTGAGTGGCCTGGATGATCAGCAGGTTTTTGTGGGAGACAGGGTGGAGATGGCCGTCGAAGTATCTGAGGAAGGAGCCCAAGTCATATGGTGAGTTCTTGTCCATTCTTACCCTCCTTTCCCTCTCCTTTCCCTCTCCTGTGGATCAGCCATCCACACCTGCACTCTTGGTTGCTATGGAGATACTGCTTGAAACTTCAACACATGTGTTGCTTGCAAAAGGTCCCAAGTTCAGTCCATACTATGTCTAACTCAAAGGATAAAGATCTAGGCTGAGACCCCAGGGAGCAGCTAGCAGTCAGTGCGTCAACAATAGCAGGCCAGATTGTGACACTGAAACATAGAAAGGTAGAAACAGAGCGAGTCAGAAGGGGTCTCCCGGGCCATCTAGTCTGACCCCTGGCTCCAGCCAACTCCGCTCATGACATGGTAAAGCCATTTCCTACACTCCTCTTAATTGATCTTTCCTATATAGTATTTGGTTTCTTCTGTGAAGAGATACTGAAAATGCAGACAATAGTGCCTCTCTGTTGTGAGACAAGTTTTCCATTGCTACCATTTCTCTTCTGACTTTCTTACCTGGCTCCAAATTCGGGGTGGATCTTTGTCCTCATGCTTCAGGAGGGCTAAAGGATGGCAAGCATTTGGCATGTTTGAACAGTTTGGCATCTTGAAAAACAAGCTGTTGGATATTTGGGGGGCTGGAACATTAATCTGGGAAGGACAGCCAGCCACTCAACACTCCCTACAACTAGCTGAGGAGGGAGTTGCCTTGGTGATTGCCACAAGGGCCAACTAATCAGATCTCTGCCCAACTTGCTTCCATTGAAGGCAGGAAGAATGTGTTGCTCTTGAGCTTGGTTCTCTTAGGAAGGAGGTAGGTCTGTCTAAAAAGGAGGGGGTGTGGATCCGCAGAAAGCTCACTGCTCAAGATAAGTACCTTTGTATACAACCAGAGGGGATTTACTTGTGTAAAATGCTTGCATTGTGTACTTCCTTTAGAAAGATCAGAACTGCTTACATAGGGTTCTCACTGCTCTCTGTTCCAGTATTAATAAAGTCCATGCCCACCAGCTGAAACACTAGATATTCTTGGATCAATCAATGGGAATGAATTGACCCAGTTCTTGTCCAGAGGGCTTACTGTTGTCTCTACAGGATGTCATCCTTCTGTCTTACATCTTTTATATGAGATTAAAAATGATCATGGGAGACACAATTGTTTACTATCGACATATTCTATGTGGAAGTCTCATAACCTGCCCATTGTGATACTGTGAAGACTTGTCTTCTGCCCCAAGTGCATCATTGATATCCCGCTGTCTTTGTTTAATCTCCAACTTGGCCTCTTCTCCTCTCTGCCTCCAGGTCAAAGGATGGTGTAGAGCTGACCCGTGAGGAGACTTTCAAGTACCGCTTCAAGAAGGATGGGAAAAAGCACATCCTCATCATCAATGAAGCCACCAAAGAGGACACTGGGCGCTATCAGATTGTTACCACCGGTGGCCAATCAGAAGGGCACCTCCTGGTTGAAGGTGTGTGGGAACTGGTAGACCAGAGGGTAGAAGGGTTCCACTCTGGATTTTCCCAGGGGGATGTTGCAGGATCAGACCTCTCCGTCTCTTTCTCGCTACACAGAAAAACAGCTTGAGGTCGTTCAGGGCCTTGCTGATCTTACTGTCAAAGCCACTGAGCAGGCTGTCTTCAAGTGTGAAGTGTCCGATGAGAAGGTGACTGGCAAATGGTACAAGAATGGAGTCGAGGTCCGGCCTAGCAAACGCATTACCATGTCTCACAACGGCAGGTGAGTGCAAAGGGAGGACAGTGCTGCGCTTAGGCCAAGGGCTATATATGTGGGAAATGTGTGAATCTGGGTCTTCATTGACTCCTCCCAATATGTACGGCCGAATGACCTAAAATCCCGGTTGTGTGATACATGGCATTGGGAAGTATTGGGCTGCCTAGGAAGTGCTGACATGGGTACAGTATGGTATTTCCATTAGGAAATCCAGTGTCAAAGCTTTGATTGGCTTTAGATCTCATTTGATGACCTTGAGCAAATCACCATGTTTCTTTTTGTTTGTTTTTTTCAAAAAAAGAACCACAACAGTAGCAGCATATTAAACAGTCAAATTATGCCACCATTTCCTCTTCTTGTATCAACAGTTGTTGTTGTTGTTATTGTTGTTAGTCGTGAAGTCGTGTCTGACCCATCGCGACCCCATGGACAACACTCCTCCAGGCCTTCCTGTCCTCCACCATCCCCCGGAGTCCACCCAAGCTCACACCCACTGCCCTAGTGACTCCATCCAGCCACCTCATCCTGTGCCGTCCCCTTCTTCTTTTGCCATCTATTGTTCCCAGCATTAGGCTCTTCTCCAGGGAGTCCTTCCTTCTCATTAGCTGGCCAAAGTATTTTGAGCTTCATCTTCAGGATCTGGCCTTCTAAAGAGCAGTCAGGGTTGATCTCCTCTAGGACTGACCGGTTTGATCGCCTTGCAGTCCAAGGGACCTGCAGGAGTCTCCTCCAGCCCCACAATTCAAATATCAACAGAAATAAGCCGCAAATCATTGTAATATGTTGATTGTTCCAAAAGGTTTAAATCACTTCAGACTTAGCCTAAAGCCCTTCCTCCATAGCTTGCTGTAATAATCCGGGCTATTTATTTAGGTCCAAATCCTGTAGCATGATTAGACATGCAAACATCCCACAGGCCCCAGCATGGCTGCCTAGGAAGTGCTGATAATTGGGGAATTTTTTTTGTGCATAAACATCCATGGGATTATACCCTCATAATGACAAAATCCCATAACTTAACATGCCACTCTCTGATTCTAAGGATATACAAACCACCACCTGTCTGTTTAGAAGTGGAAAACCATGTCATTAAATACATTTTAAATTAAATTGAATGTTTCCATTTTTGTGTAGGTTCCACAAGCTGGTCATTGATGATGTGAGACCTGAGGATGAAGGAGACTATACCTTTATCCCTGATGGATATGCTCTTTCACTCTCTGCCAAACTCAACTTCCTAGGTGAGTGCCTGTAAGCCACCAGCAGGCATGACTCAATGACAGGAGGGTTACCCTAGCAAGACAACGAAGCTCCGGAGCCGCATAAGGCAAGACAGGAGCTGCAGGGCCCCTTGGGTGGTCACAGGCTCTCATTCTTCCTGTCTGGATTTAGGCCTGAAGGACCAAGGGAAAGTGAGGGTGGGCTCATGGAGGGTAAGCTGTAAGCATGCAAACCCCATTTGTGACTTTGCACTACAGAATGACTGGTCACAGGGTTTTCTTGTTAAGGCATCCGCTTTAGCACCCAGTTACTAAAGCTTGTCTTCAGCACTGGTGACTGTATCACTTGTATCAATTGAACACTGTGGTTCTGCCCATCCTGGTCCAGAAACAGATGGAAAGATGCTTGAAATATGATCCTGTTTTTTCCTGGTTCCTTCCACACATGCCTTGTCCTCTTGGGGTAGATCTACATTCAAGGGGACTGTTTTTGGAAACGCGTGTGATGTTTCAGCCTATGCGTGCTTCCGTTTATGTAATCAAAATGGCACCAAAATTGCCCATGTGCAGACTCTGCCATTAGGCAGGATGAGGCAGCCGTCTCAGGTAGTGGATGCTGAAGGACGGGAGTGTGGCAAGTGTTAGAATGAAGCTGCTGCTTTCAGGTGTGGTGGAAGATGCTGCCCATTTGCCAGAGTCAGAGTAGGATTCAACACTGGTCCGTGTCTGTACATGGAATGGGGAGAGCCACCACTTTGTCATTTGTGACAAAGAGCCAGTGGAGAGCCAGTGTGGTGTATTTATTTATATATTTATTTATTCAATTTATCTCCTGCCTTTTTCCTGCAAAGGGCTCAAGGCAGCTTGCCTCATTCTCCTCCTCCATCTCATCCCCACAACAACAACCCTGTGAGGTAGGTTGGGCTGTAGTGGTTGAGAGCGTGGGACTGGGACTCAGATGATCCGGGTTCTAGTCCCCGCTCAGCCATGGAGCCAACTGGGTGACTCTGGGCCAGTCACAGACTCTCAGCCCAACCTGCCTCACAGGGTTGTTGTTATTGTGGGATAAGATGGAGGAGGAGAATGATGTAAGCTGCCTTGAGCCTTTTGCAGGAAAAAGGCAGGAGATAAATCGAAAAATAAATAAATACAATTTGCCTCTGGCAGCCAAATGCCTGGTGCCATTGATTTTTCCTTTTACCTGAGACAGGGAAATCTCTTGGCCCCGAGGTGAAGAGTTCAGTAGGTTTGATGGAACCTGGAAAATTTCTGGAGTACAAAAGCTATTTATAAGAACTAAAGAAATTAAGAACTAAAGAACTTTCCCTGCCCACACAAAGCAGCACTGAGAAGATTTGCAATGACAAAAGAAAAGTGGAAAGCTTGGTGGGGGCAGGAATGGAGTGGCTGGGATCCTGAACAGAGGCTCTCTGCACTGCAACACTTGCTTGCAGGTCTTGCTTGCATGATCTGTAAGCAATTGGTCTAGACATCTACAATGTGTTATATTTTTATTTTTTTAATTTTGCTAATGGAAGCCTAGACTGAAAAGCTTTCACTCTACCTGCAGAAACTAGAAATCTGTTCCATGATGGTCTCACGGGCTTGAATTATATTTCTCAGGGACTCTTTTTAGGGGGAAAGTCATCACATCATAATTTATATAGTGGCATGAAAGAGAGAAAGCATGTAACATATCATCAAATACTGCTCACTGCTGTTTCTCTCACCCCTTTTCTCTGTGTTCTCTCCCACTTCTAGAAATCAAGATCGAATATGTTCCCAAACAAGGTGAGTGGATTCTACCATCCTTTGGGGGGAATGGTGGGTTTAGAAAAGCCAGAAGATTCTCTCAGTGTATTCTGAGAAAGCAAGATGTGGTGCTGTGAGTGACAGAGCTCCCCCCAACACACACACACACACACACACACACACACACACACCCTGTGCTAAGAGCACTGCCAAAGGAAGATCACAGTACCAGAGCTGTCAGATGTAGCCCATTAGCTGCATGTTGGACTTGGCCTAAATCCTTGCTCAGCCCACAGACTTGGCCTTAGCAAGTCCCTCTGATTAGAAGACTCTCTTCTACTTGGAATGGTGCCAGCATTGGGGGTTGTTTACTTTAGAGAAAAGGGAGAACATGATAAAGGTGTATAAATGGATGCATGGTGTGGGAAGAGATGGACAGAGAGAAATTTTTCTCCCGCACACACAATATTAGAACCCATGGTCATCTGATGCAGCTGAGCAGTGAGAGATACAAGGTAGAGGAAAGGAAGTAGCTTTGTTCCAAGTTAATCCGCAAAACCCATTGGCACAGTGATGGCCACCAACTTGAACAAAAGGGATTAGACAGAATCACAGATGGAATGGCTGTCAGTGGCTGCTGGGCATAATGTTTGTTAGATCAGAGGCAGCATGGCATGGGACACTAGCAGCTGGGAGAGAACAGCAGGAGCTGCTATTTCCCTCTTGTCCTGCTGGCAGCCTCCCTGGAGTAGCCTCCTTTTGGCCACCATGGGAAACAGGATGCTGGGCAAGAAAGACCTTTGGTCTGATCCAAGAGGCCTCTTGCTATGTATCATCCCCTAACTCCTTGTCTGTAAAATGGAAATAATATCTCCTGGGAGGAATGGGTCTTGCGTGTTTTGAAGTTGATCGTGAAATGAAATCCTCTCCGGTCCCACTGAGGCAGGCAACTCCATCGCTGCTGTGGGGAAGCTCGGTAGATAGTTAGGAGATGCTCCTATGGGGTCTCCTGTATTTCCATCAAAAAAGTGGAAGAGGCCACAATTCATCTCAGAAGAAGTGAATCTTCTCCTCAAGAGATGGGATGAAATAATAATTCACTTGGCAAGGAAAATATACAGGAGAGAGTTCTGATCAGTTGGTTTCTATCTGTAGTTCTTGCTCACTGAGTTGGGGGCAATAAATGTACCATGCCAGGGATCTTCAACAAATACAAGGAGGAAAAGGGTATCTCTATTTTTATTGTATTGTCATTTTTAATTTCTCCAGAGCCCCCCAAGATCCATTTGGACTGCTCAGGAAAGACAAATGAAAACACCATTGTGGTGGTGGCTGGGAACAAGCTGCGCCTGGATGTGAACATCACTGGGGAACCAGCACCTGTGGCCACTTGGATGAGGGGTGATGTGGTACGTAGTGCTGGGAGAGGATGGAGGATGAGAAGATTTTTGGGTTCAGGGCTTAAGTTTCTGTCTCTGGGGTGGGCTTTAGCAGAGGCAGTCCACTCGTGGCCTTCCAGATGTTCTGGGTATGGCCTACAGCCCCCATGAAGCATTGATGTTGGTTGATGTGAGTTATAAGTGAAAACATCTAGAGGGTGACAATTGGCCTAACCCAACCTTTATTGTGCAATATGGTGCTTCCATACAAGACTTTCTTTGTGTCATCAACCTGCATCATTTACAGAATTTTATATGGGGTCTGGGTGCTGTCATCATCTACTCGTTTCCTCCCATATTTCCCCATTGCTTTTTCAATCTTTTTCTTACTGCAAAAAGCCCATTAAGGAAGAAAAGATGAAATAGCTGCACAATGCCTTTTGATTGGAAGCACTAGGAACCATTAATTGGGAAACAACTGAACTCAGAAGGGCTAAAGCAGATAATAGATCTCTTTCATTGTTACATAAAACCCCTCCAGTCATTCCAAAACCCTCAGTAAGGGTTAGTTTGTCTAGATCCAACTCCCAGTCTTTTGTAAAGTAACACTTTATATCCCAGCATCATGTAGGCAGAGTCCTGGTTTTGCCTTTCACATAAATGTGAATCTTTTCAGGATGCTGGAGAAACCACTGGTGCTGAATTGCTGGACTCCTCATACTTTTAGCTCACTTTTGGCTTTGCAAATCTGAACGGGCTATTTCTCCCTCTTCTTTCAGATCTTTGCAGAGAAGGAGGGGCGAGTTCGTATAGAAGAAAGGAAGGAGCTGAGCAGCTTTGTGATTGAGAGTGCTGAGCGCTCTGATGAAGGGAGTTACACCATCAAGGTGACCAACCCGGTGGGTGAAGATGTAGCCACCCTCCACATCAAGGTTGTGGGTGAGTAGTGAAGCTATGAAGGGGATCCAAGACGTGGTCTGGTAGTCCTGGCTGGCCCAGCATTCCCCATCTCTGACTCTGTCGCGCTTTGTCTTACGCAGATGTTCCTGATCCTCCCGAGGCTGTGCGCATCACGTCAGTGGGAGAGGACTGGGCCATTCTGGAGTGGGAGCCACCAAAATACGATGGAGGCATGCCTGTCACTGGTGAGTGCTAAACTGGTTCAGATTATTATTATTAGTTTTATTTCCATACCATCCAATGACTGAAGTTGTCTGGGTAATGTACAATAGATTATAATAATATAATATAATATAATATAATATAATATAATATAATATAATATAATAATATAAATTTACAGTTAAAACATCAATAATTTAAAACCAAATCTTAACAGTGTAAACCATTAAAACAGGTTCATACAGCTATTTATTTATTTATATATAACATTTCTATGCCGCACCCATCATTGAAGCCTCGGGGCAGCTCACAAAGAAAATAAATAAACAAAGAATAGAATAACATTAAAAATTTGGAGTATCTCGGCCATCATTTAAAACCACAAAATAAAACAACTGATTAACAATTAAAATATTGTTTAAACAAAACGAAACTTTGTAAAGCAGCTGACAGTATCCATCTCCTCACGTGCTCTTTCAAACTGTTAAGGGTTGTGATGTAGAGAACAGTCTTAGTGTAGCACCAAGTGGAGAGATCATTACGTAATTTGGGGCTACCACAGAGAAGGCCCTCCTTGTTGCTACCAGCTGAATTACCCTTGGAGGTAGTTGGAGGAAGGCCCTGGGTGTCGATTGTTGTGTCTGGGTGGATTGGCGTTGAGAGAAGCGTTCCATCAAGTACTGTGGCACACAAGCCATATAAAGCTTTGGAGGTTAAAATCAGAATCTTGAATTGGGCTCAGAAGTGTGTGGGCAGCCTGTGCAAGTGGAGCAGAACCCGTATTCTGTGCTTTGACCTTCCCATGATCAGCCCGGCTGCAATATTTTGCATAAGCTATAGCTTTTGAACAGTCTTCAAGGGCAGTGGCTGATCTCAGAAATGACCAGAGCATCGATGGCTAAAGGAGGCGATCCCTCTTCAGGTTGGGACATGGCTGGGGTGTTAGAAGGCGCTTTGTGCCCCTGAGACCACCTGAGCCTCAGGTGACAAAGATGCCTCAAGGAACACCCCCCACCCCACCCCCAGCTATAAACCTGCTCTTTCCTGGGGAGAAGTTGTGTCATCAGCATCCTGACAGTCCAGAATTCTGGATGATCCCACCCACTGGTTTTACGTACAGGTGAAATGGCATGGGGCAGCAGGGGGTGGGGGGTGGGGGCAAGGAACTGCATGCAGGAGGAGCTGCAGAGCCATGCAATATTCCCCAGCACCAGCCAGATGTCATCTGAGCCTCAAGTTCACCAAATATACCCCTAATTGTGAGCCCTTCCTGTAATTCCTCTTTACCAGATTGCAGGAGGGGATGTGGGAGAAGGACTGAATGCTACCATATGTGATTGGAATGTGGGCGTTTATATGAATTTTCAAGGAGCATGTTCAGGGAATGCAGTATTATTAATCACGTGTGCATTGACTTAATTGATAAGCAAGACTAGCACTGAGAACAGAGGGGCAACTGAGGAAAGTCACAATCAAATAATCCAAATACCCCTGATGATTCTTTTTAACCATAACTACTGGTTTGATAATACCTACTTCCTTTTGATTATTTCTGACTCATTTTATGATGAATTTTTGAGAACAAAAATACTTCAGAAAGCGACTCTACTAGATTGGTGCACTTGAGATTGCTGCAATGGGTGTTCTGTTTGTTTTCTCCATCCCAGTTTTTCCTGGTCTTGGAAAAGGGTCCTGCCTCAGTGGTGGGAGAACGTATGATTTGCATGTAGAAGGTCCCTGGCTCAGTTCTGGGGTTGTCTAAGTAAAAGCAAGAGGTAACAGCAGGGCTAGGAAGAGCTGGGAAGGGCCTCAGCCTCAGATGCTGGACACTTGCTTCTAGCTAGAGCAGAGCAACAGGCTGATCTGGTAGAAGAGGCAGCTTCCCATGTTCCACAACAAGTTGAAAAGAAGGAGAGGGCTCAACCCTCAGTGGAAGATCACATGTTCTGCATGCAGAAGGTCCCTGGTTTCATCCTTGGCATCTCCAGATAAGGCTAGGAAAGAAATGCATCCTCCCAGGGCCGCAAGCTCCCACTGGGCTGCGCGTGTGACATCACTGCCCTTGCCCACCTGCTTTAAACATTTTTTCCATTTGACATGGCGAAGGATTGCGTAGAGCCACTTCTCGAGTGTCGTGGGTGCCACTGCTACGCGTACCTTGGCGCTCTTTCAAAATCCGTGCTCCTGACATGTCTGGTGCTGAGTAACACTCTCCTTAAATAACCGAAGATGTCTGAGTGGTTCATAAGAGTTAAGGCCAGGAAACGTAGCAACATGCTGAAACAGAATGTAAAACTTTCTAGTTTAAAACAGTAGTATAAAATGTGTAAAAAATAAACAAGCATGTCAGTGTGTTCTGCTGTGGTTGTTTCCTCTGAGCTTGAAACTTTGCCAGCCCTCCTTGTCAGTTTCACAGCTCTGTATCCTTATCTGTTTCACAACTCTGTTATCTTACATGATGCAGGATTTATAGCTGTTCTTCTCAAACACATCTGTGTCCTGTGCATGAGTGGAGATTGTGCTCATTAGGGTATGGCTAAAACAACCTGGCATTCCATGTTCACGTGGACACCGTTGACTGATTCACAATACAATCCCAGCAAAAGCCCATTAGATGGCCAGGATGACAGAAACAAGCTGGGCGGTTATAACTTTCTTCCATTAACCGTATTTTTCCTTTGTGAGCCAGGATATCTGATGGAGCGCAAGAAGAAGGGAAGCATGCGCTGGATGAAGTTGAATTTTGATGTATTCACCGAGACAACCTATGAGTCCACCAAAATGATTGAGGGGGTGCTCTATGAGATGCGCGTCTTCGCAGTCAATGCCATCGGAATCTCTCAGCCCAGCCACAATACCAAGCCCTTCATGCCTATCGGTGAGTGAGTGGGCATGATGAAGGCGAAGAATGAGGCTGAGCGAAAATGAGGGTAAAAAGGGCGGAATTTCTCCTACTTTGTCTGCTGTTACGTGTCATCAAGTTGCCTTTGACTTACGGTGACCTTACGAATGATTGACCTTCAGCCTGTCCTGTCCTTGGCAGTCCTGCTCAGCTCCAGGTGGTGACTTCCTTTATGGAATGGACCCATCTCATATTTGGTCTTCTCTGTCTTCTTCCGTCTTCAATTTTCCCTAGCCTTATTGTCTTCTGCAGCAAGTCTTGCCTTTTCAAGGTGTATGCAAAGCATGGCAGCCTTACTTTCATCATTTTTGCTTCCAGGGAAAGTTCTGGCTTGATTTGATCTAGGATCCGCTTGCTCACCTTTCCTTCACTCCAGGGTATTCACAAAGCTCTCCTTCAGCACCATGTTTCAGATGCATCCATTTTCTTCCTGTCAGCTTTCTTCACTGTCTGGCTTTCACAAGCACTCTCTCCATTGCTTGCATTGCAGAGGCTTAGTGGAGCCGGAGCGCACAGGGACACAGCGCTAGCCCTATTTTATTGGCAGGAAGGGTGACAACATTTGCCACCAGCCCACAGACTTCCTTCTTCCCTCCAAGATTGCTTGCTTGTCTCACAAAGGCTGGGGAAAATGAAATTTCCCAGCAATACTCACATTGTTCCCTGTGTTCATGCACAAAATTTGGGGGTGCCTTGAAAAGCTTGGCAAAAGTTTTGATCCTGGTGGAGATCAAAACTGCCATAATTGGTGTGCTGCTTTGTTGCCTGGATTTTTTAAATTTAGTTGTTTTATGTATTTCTAGGCCACTTTCAGGCAAGGAGTCCTCCCAAGATAATTTGCAATAAAATAAAAACTGATTTGGTAATAAAGTTGCAAACATTCATAAAAACAGTAAACACCAACATAAGACAAAACCTACAACACAACTGCAGCTATAATTTGTGGATGCTACCTAAAGGATGTGGCTATGGGAGGTGTCATGACGAGTGCCTGCACTTTAAAGTTTACTGCTATACCTTGGCTTCTGTGTAGTTAGTACAAAACAGCAACCAAAGCAGGTGTCCTGGAGCCTACCTTTTACACATTCTGGTTAAAACGTATTTATTCGCCCATCGTTTTCATTGTTGAATAGTGCGTGGCTTTTATAGTGGTTTTTATTATATGATTATTGGTTGCTGTGGATCAATTGCTCTTGTGTTGGTACTATTACTATTATTTATTTGGTTGATGCAGTTTATTATATTTATTTTTTATTATGCATATGTTTTAATTTTATGCTTTTGCAGGTTTTTGCTGTGCACTGTTCTGAGAGTGTTCACTAAAGTTTTATAAAAACTTTAAATACATAAGTAAACCAAAGGAAAAGCAGGATCTGGAGAAGGGCTGTGCAGGCCAGGACTGGCATTAGGCTCACACTGGCGTTTGTGAGATTGCCAAGGCGGGCATGGGGAAGCCGTGCCTTTACGTATCTGTGTCATCCCTCTGCCTCACTCTCTCAATTTGACTCCAGCCCCCACCAGCGAACCGCTGCACCTCACCTTGGAGGACGTGACGGACACCACGGCCACGCTGAAGTGGCGTCCCCCGGACCGGATTGGCGCCGGGGGCATTGACGGCTACCTCATCGAGTACTGCAAGGAAGGAAGTGAGTCACTGCAACCGGGAGGGGAAGCCAGGTGGGCGGGTGGTTTGTGTGAAATCGCCTGCTATTGGTCTCTCCGTCTTTGCACTCAGTTAAAGCATGGTCCCTCGATGTTCTGTAGCCAAACTCTGATGAGACCTTCTTCCTCCTGAAGGACTGAAAACCACACATCAGCCCTCGGTGCACTAGCACACCAGCTGGGGCGACCTCCGTTTCCCTTTTGCTTCTTTCACTAGGTCACCACAGTCTGCCCTTTCACGCCTGATCACAGCTTATCTTGGACGCTAAGCAGGGTCAGGCCTGGTTGGAATCTGGATGGGGGACTTCAATGTTGTGAACCACCCAGAGAGCTTTGGCTATGGGTGGTATAGAAATATAATTAATAATAATAATAATTTTCTTAGCCATGCATATGGATGGCCGAGAAGTTGCCATTTCCATCACCCTGTCCCATATCCTTCCCTAGGGCTGTAACAAGCCCCACAGAGGACCAGGCCATCTTACTTGTGGTTTCCCCATAGCTATGACCTTAGCAAAACTGTAGCCTTGTCACCTTGTGCATCTTTGACCCTTAACCTTTGAACCTGGGTCTACCTGTCCTTTCCTGTCAGTGACTCAGGCCAGAGTAGCCTGTTCTCTTTTCCACCCTGGTTTTCGCAAGTGTTTTCACTCATGGAGATGAGGCCTGCGACGTAGTTACAATCTTCATTTGGCATTCTGGTAGCCTCATGTGGCTTGAACCTTGGTCCAGGGCTGGAAGATTACATATACAGTAAAACCTTGGATTGCGATCATAATTCGTTCTGGAAACATGCTTGTAATCCAAAGCACTTTGGATATACATCAAAGCGAATTTCCCCATAGGGTTCAGTGTAAACAAGATTAATCCATTCTGTAATTATTATTTTTTAATCACAAAAATTTGAAGTGGGCGCGCTCGCAGGGGGAGGCAGGTGCACTCGGGGGGGGAGGTGGGTGCGATTGCAGGCACACTGGGGGGGGGGGGGGCGGGTGTGCTCGGGAGGGGGGAGACGATGCTGTACTCACACCCGCAGCGAGAGAGAGAAAAACTGGCACTCAGTTGTGACATGACGCTTGGGAGGCAAAGCGCGTGTAATACTCGTACTGCAAGACATTGCTCATTTATCAAGTTAAAATTTAGAAAAACTTTTTGCTCATCTTGCAAAACACTCGCAGACCAAGTTCCTCGCAACCCAAGGTTTTGCTGCACGTGGGCTGTTCTGAAATAATTTCAAGAGGGTGACCTTTGTATAGGAGTGGAGAGATTATAGCATGTCTTGCCCTTGTTCGCCTCTGCTGGTGAACCATGATCTCCTGCCTGGTCACTCCCTCCGGACACCCCCTCCTCCCAAGCCCCAGTTGCTTCTGCAGGACAAAGAGTCTCAGACACCCTGCTTGCCACCGGCTGTTGGCTGTCCCTTAACTCTGTGCTCTCTGCCCTCTTTCCAAGCTGATGAATGGATACCTTGCAACACAGAGCTGGTGGAGCGCTGTGGCTTTACCGCCAAGGGACTTCCGACAGGCGAGAAGCTTTTCTTCCGGGTCATTGCGGTCAACATTGCGGGCAAGAGTCAACCAGCCACGTTTGCACAGCCCGTCACCATCCGAGAGATTGTTGGTTAGTTGTCTGGGGCCTCTTGAGTTGCAAAGCCAAGCCACTGGTATCTCTGCTCTGTTCTCTGGACCTCCCTGATGAGGGCTGGTAGCTCCATGTCAGTGGGGAGGTGTATACACTCCAGGCTTTAGTCTGAACTATTAAGGAGCCATCTGTGGTGCTGAACCTTACCTCTAATATTGACGTAGCATCACAGATAGCTCCTTAAAAGTTCAGACTGAAGTTCAGGATGTTGCAGGTGCAGAAAATGGACTTTACCCATTGAACAGAAATGTTGAATTGTAAGTTGGTGGGAGAAATGTGTCCCTCATGGAGTCCAGCCCCCAAGGAGGGCCCTACTAGAGGGCCCTACCCCTTTGCCTATGAATGAGAATTTTTGGGGTGTTTTACTGGCTTTTGTGGTTTTTCTGCATGATAAAAGGTGGAAATGCTTCTTCTGAGGCCTAGTTATCTTCATGGAGAAGTATAAGCTAAAATATGCTGTGGGTTTTGTTATGTTTTGTGTGGGATTTTGGCCTTGTTTCCTTTGCCTTTGACTCCGCTAGATTTTACCTTTAGCCTGACCTGCAACTGGAATACCCCCAGCTCACAAACAAGCTTCTCTGAAATTAAATTCAGGCTGCCATTAGAATGGGGCTCCTGAGAACCCAAATCAAACTTGAATTTTACTTTTGGGATGAAAAAGGTTCAATATGCCTTCTGTGGAGGCATTCGGCTTCATTCCTCCAGTTATTAAACTCCCTGGTAGTCAGGCTGAAAACACACCAGTGATCTAGAACACCTTGGACTGGGCTTTGGTAGGTGGGTTGAATGTAGGTGGCCAGCTGGTCAGATCTTCTCTCCTCCTGCCCACACCATCCGTCCTCACATATTTTTATCCTGTTTTTCTGGATTCTGCCCCCCGCTGCCACCTTATCTTTCCCCGTCTTTGTCCCCAGCCCCCTGCAGGGATCAAACCTTCTGAAATAAAATTCTGGCAAGTCTTGTAATTTAAACTCTAGAACCCTAAACTGGGAAGGACTGGTCTTTGTGCCTTTGGGCATCATCTCCTAAGCATTACCATCAAAGGTAATGTTTAGGATGCCTTTTCCAACCTCTTCCCTTTCCCAGCATCCTCAGGTGCTCAGCACACACTTCCTGGTTCCCTTCTGAAAGCCGCTGTTAGAGCAGAAGGGTCATGATGTCAAGGAGGGGTTAGGCAGTGCTCAGAGATTCTGGAAAATCTAGTTTGAAATACTTGGAGGTAAGGCACCCCTTTCATAAACCCATGGCACTTGTGGCTCCCTTCACCTTGGCCTCTCATCCCAACTCCCATTCCAGCGTCTTCCAGTATTTTTCCAAGCCCCTTCCACTTGTTCTCTCTTTTCTCCACACAGAACAGCCCAAGATCCGTCTGCCTCGCCACCTCCGACAGACATACATCAGGAAAGTTGGAGAGCAAATCAACTTGGTGATCCCATTCCATGTGAGCACTCAAATTGAAAGTAAACCTCCCAGCTTTGGCGTATGCAAGTAGTGGGTGACTCCTGGAGGACCGTTGACGGCTTCTGGAATACCAAGCGGTCAACAGAGCTTAGTGGCATGTGATGGAGGGGCAGGGATGGGTGCTCCAGTGGGATGTTGTGCAGCCCACAGGAGTCATAACTCAGGGGCTGGAGCCAGCCTTACTAAGCAGAAACTACTGCATATTAGCAGGCAACTAGGCTGTACGATCTCAGATCTGTGGGCTAAATCTGGCCTAAATGGAGTATACCTGCAGTCTTCTGGGGTTCTCAAGGTGCCATACTCCTTCCCTAACTGATGATTGACTTCTGATTTCCTGACTTTTGCATGTTCATCTCGCCGTTCTAAAATTTTGAAAGTCCTCTCCTAAGCCTTATTTGTTGTAAAAGCCTTAAGCTCAAATAGGTTGTCCTTTGTGCTATTTTGACCTTTCCCTTTTTGCCTTTGTTCCAAACTATTTAATGTTCACCCATCCCTAGAATCTGGCTTCCAGGAGCTTCTCTGAAATGGAATTTCCCCCAAGGCTGAAAGAGGTTGAACATTCCTGATTTGACTCAGGGTGGTCAACAACACCACTAATATTGCCCACTTGCCATTGCTGAGTTCTATTGCCATTTTTTTCAGTTTATGAACACACATATCTTATTTGTATAAACTAAAGGCTGAAGGGCTATAGGAAGCCAGGAGGGCACGGTTCCTCAAACTATGGCCCATGGGCTGGATCCGGCCTGCCATACTCCTTTATCCGGCCCACCTCAGAGGTTTTGGACTTGCCTCACTTGCACCCGCTCGTGCGAAGATCATTTTGGACTCACTCGGAGAACTCCCTGCGAAACCCTCAGCTCTGGTGGTAGATGACACTTCTGCGAATCAAAATGTGCCAGTGCGGCATCCTTGTGAGACCATGTGTCACTCCACCATGATTCCCCCTTCCAAGCTATGCAAGACCAAAGCTCTGCCCAGGTTTGGCACTGTCTGTGCCCGCCACCTGCTCTGGTTCTGCCACTGTTAGCTGAGCACCCTGATTGGTTATTCACATGCATCAAAGGCCTTCCATAGGAAAAGGGTTGGCAGGCAAAAGGTAGCATTGCAGTGCTGCAAAGTAAAGCCATCCAGGCCCTACCTGAGGACTCAGCTGGTGAAAACACCCAGACATGGTCTAGAGCGCTACCCGCTGGATTGGTGGTGGACACAGGGCATGGCTCAAGCAAAGCCAGGGTGGCGTAGTGGTGAAGAGCTGGGACGAGGACTCAGGCGATCCGGGTTCGAGTCCCCGCTCGGCCATGGAGCCAACTGGGTGTCCTGGGGCCAGTCACAGACTCTCAGCCCAACCTACCTCACAGGGTTGCTGTTGTGGGGATAAGACGGAGGAGGAGAATGAGGTAAGCTGCCTTGAGCCCTTTGTAGGAAAAAGGCAGGATATAAATCAGAAAAAAAAAAAAAGCCCTGGCACTGATGCCAAGCTTTTTTTCCTGCTCCAGGGTAAACCCCGTCCTGTAGTCACCTGGTTGAAGGATGGGAAGCCTCTGGATTCCAGTGAAATCCATGTCCGCACCTCAGACATAGACACCATTCTGTTCATCCGCAAGGCCGAACGACATCATTCGGGTGTCTATGAGCTGTCAGTGCAGATTGAGAACATGGTGGACAAAGCTGACCTCAAGATCCGTGTTGTGGGTAAGGACTTCCCTCCCCCTCAGGATTAAATTATTGCCCCAGCAAATTTACTTTTAAATGCCCCCTGCACACTCATATGAAAGGGTTAGAGCAGGAGAATCAAAGTGAGGGGGGGTTGTGTAGAGAAGGACAGTGAGTCTCATGTTTCCCTTGTGAGATGTCCCCTTTCTGTACAGGAATAAGGCATTACCGAGATAAAATAGCAGAGATAATGGAGGGAAGACCTCTGATTTCAGGAAAGGTGATTCATTATGTCAAGGCATACAGCACGCTACTGTCTGCCTCTTCTTTCTGTGCTAAGAAACTTGCCTGGCCTTAGCGCAGCCGCGTCACTGCTTTCATCTCCCCTCTCTAGTGCTGCCATGCCTGCCGCTCATCTATCACATTCAGCCTCCCAAACAAACTCTTAGTGTTCTCCGAGACACTTAATCCACTCATACAAAGCCCACCCTAGGAGGATCCAGACACACCCCCTTCGAAATCTCTTGAGTGTCAAAACACGCTCACCCCAACACACGCGCTGCTCTTGGTCTGCTGCTCCAGTTACACGTGGGTGGGTGGGTGGGTGGGTGGGGGCGAGTTGGGAGGAATATTGAGATCAGGGCAGGGGGCAGGAGGTATCCCGATGTGCTGATAGATCTCTGGTGATCTGCAGTCGATCAGCAAGGGTTGCAGCAACAAAACAAACTCCCCTGCCCCCACTGCCCTAAATTATACTGCTGAAATGAAGAGAGCTTGGAGAGCAAAGCAGGAATTTTTCTGTGTAAACACTGTGAGCTTCAGTTAATTCTGGTGTTCTGAACGCATTCCTGGACTCACTGCTCTTTAATTGAAAGAGTGCAATCTGCTGCGTGTTTAGAAAGGAAAAAAAAGTCCCACAATTCCCTGAAATTCTGGCTGAGGAATGCTGGAAGATGTAGGACTTTTTCCTGTCCTACATTTGCATAGAATTGTGCTATAAACATCTTCTGCACCAGTGTCAATTGGCGGATCATCTTGCTAAAAAAAGGAGAGATCCGGCAAGCCTTGAAAACTGCTGGCCCTTGTTTTAAGGATATCTACAAACACGCCACCTACTTAAGCCAAATGACGCTCTGGGCACCTCCATAGCCTTCTAAAAATGGTCCCTAAGAGGACCGTCGCAAAACGTAGAGCAGTGTCCCCACTCTGGCCTTGGCCCAGTCCTGCCCATGCTGTCATTTCACAATCATTGCCTCTTCCTCAATGCATGCATGTTCTTCAACCCTAGCCTCCTTATCTTCCCTTCCCTGCACTGCCACTTCAGTACATTTGCCCCTCTCCTCTTTCTGACCTGGCAGCAGCATAAGCTTTGCTTTGGAGGAACATCTCCTTCAATCACAAGCATAGGCGCGCCCAGATGCATGGGAATGTAGAAACCAGCCTCGCACCGAGCTGGACTGCTGAGCCATCTAGTTCAGTGGGGTCTCCTCTGGATCCGGACAATCTCAAGATCGCTGCCATGTGACGGAAAGCCATTGTGGCGTTGTGCACAGAGTACCAGGCCCTAGTTGCCACTTCGCCACGAAGCCCACTCACTGGGTCTCAGTCTAACGTACTTTACAGGGATGCTGTTCAGATAAAAAGGGGGAAAAGGAGGAAGAAGACCATGCAAGCTACTTTGGACTTCTTTCAGGAGGGAAAAAAGTGGGATATAAATGTAATATTTATTCCTCTGGAGGAAAGAGGAGCCTGGAGCTTCCCAGGTGTGGTCAGTCCAACTCCCATCATGCCTGACTGTTTGCCTGATAGCAGTTGGGTCCAGTCAGCTGGGGGGGGGGGGGCGCAGATTCCCATTGTGCTCTAACAGGTGATGCCAGGAATTGAACCCGGGTCCACCTGCTGTTGAGCTACCATGGCCCTTTCCTCCCCATGCCACAGCTCCCAGTTCCAGGAGGAGGACCACACAGGGCAGGGCGAAGGAAGCAGCTGTGGGGACAGGTGTTCAGAGCCTTCTGCTGGGATCGGGGAATGGGAAGAATTCTGCCTGTCGGGGACTGAGGAACAGCCTGGCAACTGAGGACGAATGGCTGGGCTCTGCCCCACAGCTCTTCCCCTCTCGCCTTGCCACAGCTGCTAAATTGCTAAGAAGATTTAATCCAGCCCTGCTGTGCCAGCCTCCTCTCCCCGTGGGAACCATAAACGCTCCATGCTCCCAGGCACGGGGAAGACGGGGGATTGGCATCGGCCTGACACAGCCTTCTGCTGGTTGGGCCTCTGGGATGCTGGCCATGAGGCCAGACGTGCTTCCTTGGCTTGCCTCCTCCCTTGGTCCCCGAGGGGCTCTTGCCTCGGCACTGGCCTCCTGCCCTCCTCCCCTTGCTCTGTGCCTGGTACCCCTTCCTCTGCCTCCAGCTCTCCCGATTGTCTGTTCCCTTTTTTCACCAGTTCCCACCCTTCCCCCATATAAGTAGGAGCGATCAGATTCCACCCCTCTATATTTAAGCTTCCTTGATGGGTGAAGCCAGTTGTCCCCCGACATCACCACACTGCCAGCACTCCCAAAAAGACGCCCGCCCTCCCATCTCCCGAGACACATGTTCTGATCATCCGCCTCTAATTCCAATTTGGCGGGCGGCATGTTTGAAGTGAAGTTTGGCGTCTGCTGAGAGCCTTCTGGTAATCTGCCTTTGAAAGAGGAGTGAGCTTCAGAAGCTGCTGCCCTCAGCCTTCTCCTCCGTGCCTCCCAACGCCCATAACGCCACTGGACAGGGCAGCCATTTCCACTCCCACCCTCAGCGCACGGGCACAGATATTTGCTCCCTGTATCTGGTTGGAACTCGGGGTGATGTGCACGAGGGGCTGGGGACAGGGAAACCTCAGTCATTTCCTCAACCATCCACTCTCCCAGCTTAGCAGGCAATGGCAGATGCTGTAAGGTAGGGGAGGGCAACCTACAGCCTCACAGATGGCCCTCAGCCTCATTTCAGAGGTCCTCTGCAAACAACTATTCAGAGCCTGGCAAGATCAGTCCTGAAATCTGTCCTTCCTGCAGTACTACTGGGTAGAGAGGGAGAGGGACACACACGTGGAGAGAAGTGGGTGGTGGGATGAGAGAATGGGCAACAGAGAGAGAGAGAGAGAGAGAGGGAGAGAGGAGGGGTGGCAGAAAGAAAGAGGGTGACGGGTGACAGAAGAGAGACCCTGTGAATAGAACAAGGTGCCTTATCCTGCCCATTATCGGGTGTCAGTGTTTCCCCGTCATGCTCCAGAGATCCTACTATATTCGTGGTAACCTTGGGATACATCATTGGCTTAATGGACACCTCTCGGCTTTCCATAGTGATGCAGCCCTTTCTTTGCTCTCTCCTGTTCTTTGTAGAGAAGCCAGGCCCAGCACACAATGTGATGGTGAAGGAGGTGTGGGGCTTCAATGCCTTGGTAGAGTGGGAGCCTCCCAAGGATAATGGGAATTCAGAGATCACTGGCTACGCCATCCAAAAAGCTGACAAGAAGACCATGGTAAGGCAATGCCTTTTCCCTGCCAGCCAGTCTAGGAACGCCTCGAGACATTCCTGACCTTGCTGAGCAAGTGCATTGAGAATGGGAGATGCAGGAGACTGACTGGGCGTGATGGACATCTTATGCTGGTGCTAGGCCAGCCACACTGGTTTCTCGTCTCTTCCTAGTCCAGGTTCAAAGGGCTGGTGTTGTCCTTTAAAGCTCTTCACAGGTTAAGACAGTGTACTCGACAGACCTTGTCCTTCTGTTTCTACCCACGTGTATATTAAGTTTTTCAGTGTGGAGGGCCCGCTCCTGTCATCTGAGGGGAGGTGGCTAGCAGAGAAAGGGCCTTCTTGGTGGTGGCACTCTTGGGAGGGTCACCTTGACAGCTGTGTGCTTCTTTTGGCACAGAGCTCACAGTTTTCTTTAATTGCAGTTGACTGGATGTTCTGTGCTTATTTTATATGTGTGTGCGTGTCTTGTATGGGTAGAGATAGAGATTTACATTTAAAATGTTTGATCCTGTCTGTGTGTGTGCGTGTGCGCGTGCGCGTGCGCATGTACAGTGTTTTGGGAGCATAATTAGAGATTGGTATTTAAAAATTGAAAGTAGACAAGGAGATGTTCAAGATGGAGACAGAAGCTCACCTTTTCCTGTGAGATTCCTGTGAGTGACCCTGATTTAGTCTGTACTGATAGAAGAGGACTGTTCCCTGAGACTCCCCAGAAAAGCACTTCCCTATCACTTTGTCAGCAATTTTCTTTTGTTAAAACCTAATTTAGATAAAGCTGGATGATCAGGAAGTTGTTCTAAGCCTGCAGCAAAAGCAGATGGAACAGCATTAATAGATGGCTTGAGGACTTGGAGTAATTTTCTTTCCAGAAAGAAAACTCAAAAAGAGTGTCCTTTTCCAGTGTGTATCATCTTGAATTTTATTCATTTATTTATTAAGGCTGCGATCTTATGGTCCTCAAGAGGGTGTTCCAGGGGCCATAAGGTATAATGGATCTCTTGGTCTTCCTTTCCTCTTTTGCCCAATTTGCATGATCACAGGGTGATTAGCAAGCCACAGTTAATAACCCTATGCAGGATGGCTAATCTGCATAATTACCCCCATCAGGCAAAGCTTCTTGTGTCATCAGAACCTGGAGAAGGTGGCTTTTTGTTGTGGTTAACAAACCACCCAGAACCCACGACCAGCTGTAGGGTTTGTGGGTTGGCTTCTTAACCACCCCGACAAGCCACCCATGCCAGGTTCAGATATCACAAGAAGCTGTGGCAGACAGGACTTGGATCAGCAGTCTGGTGCCAGTGGGCTGAAATGCTCATTGGATCCAGTTCAGTCTTTCTTCTCTTGAACAATGAGTGCAGGGGCAGGGGAGGAGGTCTGCCCTCCCTACAAAACACAGTCAGCCAACCAGTCCTTGTTGGGGGCCTCCTGCCCATTCTGCTGAATTTGGCCCTGGACATCTGCCCCAAGCTCCTACCCTGATGGCACCACTGATGGAGACTTGGCAGCTGGGACTGGGGACCCAGCCACTAAATGTCTGAGAATGAAGGAGTGATCATTAGGGTTGCATTGCACATGTATTCACATAATGTGCAGTTTGCCTCATATCACATCATATATTCACTCCACCACTGTAGCCCCTTCCAGAACAGTGAGATATATTTAAAGGCAAGATCATTCCCAAGCTTAGCCCTGCCCAAGCAGAGCCTCCATTCTTTCTCTCACCATACTTGTCCCTGCTTTCTCTGCCAGGAGTGGTTCACCGTCTATGAGCACAACCGCCTCACACGCTGCACGGTGTCTGACCTCATCATGGGTAACGAATACTACTTCCGCGTCTACAGTGAGAACATCTGTGGGCTCAGCGAGACCCCAGGAGTCTCCAAAAACACTGCAAACATTCAGAAATCAGGTACATGCATCCGTCACCGGAGGGAGACCCGGGATCATGCTGTGTGTTGACAGAGCAGCAGGACCGGAGGGCTGGCAATGGTGGTGGTTAGCCAAAGGACCTGGGGGGTATTCCAAACCCAAAGAGGAGCAGATTTTTTGGAGGGGGAGCCACAGCAGAGACGATATGGAAGGGTGAGTGAGGGCAGGGGTGTGCTATTTGGTGAGGTGTGATGTGGGACACTGGGAATGGGGCCTAGTGGGGCAAAACAGGATGTTCGTATAGAAGTCACCAAAAGTCCATGTAGAAGACGGCATTCCAGTGTTTTCTTGAGAAGGAGAACCTAGTGAGCTATACCTTAGGCAGAAAAAAATGACTGGTATCTTAGACCCCTGAGTTATTTGGGATGTGTGAGGAATGGAAGATTTGTGAATTCCAGTATGAACGGACTTGATCTGTAACTCCTGGACTAATTTTGGATGGAATCCGTTATCTATCAAATATGTATTTCCTGAATGTTTTTCCCAGCTTGAGCAAACTGTCAAAGTACAAATAAAAACATGTATTTAGGAGAGAAATAGTGTTAGAAATGTATGTTTAAAAAAAACTTGTTTGTTTATTTAAAGTGGAGCTGGGCAGCACGTGGCCAGCATACCACCCCCAGTGTGGTATCTAATTTCCAATGGAGTATTAACAAAAAATATTTGAGTTAGTGGTCGATAGCACTAAAGGGAGCAATTTTAGCTTTTTCAGAAGCTAAGTTTGACCCATATAGCATTCTGTAGCTCTTACAGAGCAGGCATGCTATATGGGTCAAATTTAGCTGCAAAATATGTTATATGAGTCCTATTTAGTGCTCTGCAGTGTTAATAAGGACTGCAGATATATTCTGAATGCCCTACCCAGCAAGAATATATCCTACAAGAGAGGTAGCTGTAGGGGAAAATGAAGTATCATTGGAGCACACCTTATAGCCATTGAGAAAGAGTTTGATAAAGATTATGCTACTGAGTAGTGGCAAGGTGAACCTCACGTAAACACATATTTAAGTGTGATTTTTTAAAAAGACAACAATCCCATATGATTGTCAAAATGAGACAGAATGGGTAGAAAGTGACACTGGCCAGAAATAGGCCAACAGTGCAATCTTCTACATGCCTACTCAAAAGCAATTCCATTATCTTTGATGGGACTTCCTCCCAGGATGTAGGATTTCAGCCTGCTTCACCTGACCACCTGTCTTGTCTCTTTTCCCTATCAGGGATAATCTATAAAAAGATGAACTACCAAGAACATGACTTCAGCATGGCTCCCATTTTCCTGACACCACTGGTGGACCGGACAGTGGTAGCTGGATACACCACTGCCCTGAACTGTGCAGTGAGGGGGCACCCTAAAGTAAGCACCAAATGGGGAGATAAAAGGGCAAGCCATTGGGGCATTGAGGGAGGCTGGATGGGAAGACGGGAGGGGTGCGAGGTAGGAGCAGTGAGGTCGAGGAGGAGGAGGAGGAGGAGATGGGTGGTAGGACAGGGAGGAGTGGACAGGCTGTGAGGGAGCTTTCACACTTCTTTGGTTGTAAGCAGAGAGCCAGTGTGGTGTAGTGGTTAAGAATGCAGGACTGCTACTCAGGAGATTTGGGTTCTAGCCTCTACATAGCCACAGGTGACTTTGGGCCGGTCACAGACTCTCAGCCCAACCTACCTCTCAGGTTTGCTGATGAAAGGATAAGATTGAGAGGAGGAGCAGAATTAAGCACCTCTTTGAATTATTTGGAAGGAAAAAGGGTGGGATATAAATATAATAAATAAGCAAGAAAGCAAGCTTGAGGGATTGGAGCCCAAGAATGGTCTCACAGGGGCCTTAGGCTTAGACCAGGGAGCTTCTCTAAAACTGAGCTCAGCTCTCATACTGAAATATGTTCCCCACTTTTGCCGCAGCAGCTCTGTTTAGCTGTCCTGGCTAAGGAGCCCTGAGCAGCTTATCCTACATGAATTCATCTAAGCCACTTTGGAAGTAATCCAGGCCATGGTCCCGACCTCCAAATGTGTGGGGCAAGAGCTCCCAACATCCTTCAGGAGTCGTACTCCAAAAACCAAATCAGAGAGGGCAAACAGTTGCTGACCACCACATAAAAGCACTAAATGTGCAATTACTATAATGTACAATTTATTATACAGTATGAAAATATACAAAAGCAACACTGGCTGGTCTGTTTACAAAATTGTGAGAAAAATACAATAAAACCAGTGGGTTGGCCAAGGCAGGCAACAGTCGCTAATTATCATTTACTGGATAACATGGGCACGAAAATGGGAAACAGTTGATAACCACAATGCAGAATAAAAACAACTGGCTATTTTGGGCTTAAAAAAAAATCTTAAATGTTTTCAAACAGAGAAAAAAATCTGTATTACTTATGACCAAATTTTATGGGCTCCTTTACCAGATGTCCATCTTCTACGAATTTTGCAATTATGAATGGTTCTTTGTTCTGTATTATGAAAGTTCAATCCAGTTTTATTGTAATTTCATCTTGCTTTTTGTGCAGTACATATTGGCCGGTTAGTGCTGCTTTTGTACATTTTCCCCTTTTATATATTATTCTTAGCATTCTTATGAGGCATTTTAGTCTTCGACATTTGGAAGGCACCAGGTTGTGAAAGACTGATGTACGAGCACCGGACACCAGCTCGCTTTGTGGCAGCCGATTCCCAAAAATTAATCGCACACCACGTGAAGAATTAGGGCCCTGCTACCTTAATTCTATTGCCAGTGGGATGTGTTGTTTCCTGGTTGAGTTGAAATATGAATTGTTTCTGGATTTTGAGTGTTGGCAGAACACTTGGAAGCCAGCTTTGGGGATTCTGTCAGAGTCTGTGGGTGGCAAACTTTCCTTTTAACTTATACAATTAGGTATGAATTTCCCATTCCAAAGCTGAAAGGTTCAGGAAACTAAGATCAGGGTTTGGGGTTTTGTGCACCCACTTTTAGTTGAAATGGTGCTGGTTCTGGTGCATGCTGGGGGATCCAATTCACAGTTTGCTCCTGGATTAGAATGGAGTTGTGGTGATCGAAAAGTTTGAGCTGGATTCTGTTTGAGTTTTGTTCTACCTGTGTCTCTACCCAGCCCAAGGTGATCTGGATGAAGAACAAAATGGACTTAAGTGGGGACCCCAAGTTTCTGCAGAAGAACCACCAGGGAGTGTTGACCCTCAACATCCGCAAGCCGAGTCCTTTTGACAGCGCCACGTACTCCTGCAAGGCCATCAATGAACTAGGAGAGGCCATTGTGGAGTGCAAGCTGGAGGTCAAAGGTGAATGCAGGATGGGAAACAGCTGGGTTGGAAAGCAGGATCCAGGACCCTCTTTGCCAGCAGGCAGCTGGGGACCACAGCTGGGCCTCTGCCGCTTTTCACTCCTGGGTGCCAGCCACTGATAGCTTTCCTTCCCCAGTTCTGTAAGGTCACTTCACACCCCTCAAATGGGCAAGTATTACTGACTTTATATGAGTTCCTACAGAACTGGGGTGGAGATCTGTGCCCCTCGAGATGTAATTGGACTCCAACTCCCATAAGCCCCAGCCAGCATGGCTGGTGGTTAAGGATAAGTAAAGCTGTTATCTAACACTATCTAGTGGGTCAAACATTCCCTGCTCCTTCAATCAAGAACTGCACCCTTTGACCCTGACAGAGTGGGCTTCTGTCCCCCCTCCTGCAATCATTTGAAGCACCAAATAGTGCAGATGCCTGGACAACCCCTGTCCCACCCAAAGTGTTGAAATCCTCCTAAAAGCAGATATAAATATTATGAATCTCTGTTAGCTCCAGCAAGAACACCATGGCACCAGCTTTCATGTTTTTGGTCTAACTGGTAATCTGTTTTTGCTTGAGTCTTTTCCTGGTCGCAGTCTTTGAAACAGGCTCGGTATCAGTGCCTGGCCCCCTTGGGCAACTGCTCAGCATTCAGGTGCCTCAGGAGTCAGCATGCCTCTTCTGGGCTATTTGTGGCAGGCACTGATGGCCTGGGATACATAATTATTCACAATATCCTGCAGCAATAATGCATCAGGCACCCTGGGCTGTTATAGGAAATTTAAAACGACCGCCTGCAGCTGGCTGAGTGAGTGGCAGCACTGAAGTTGGTGCAGTGGGGGCAAAGAAGGCACTCTGTGAGGGCCCTTAAGTTCTGGAGCTGGGGAAGATAATGCAGATTAGTGGGTACTTCCCCACGTCACTTGAAGAAGCATACTTGCTTCAGCCCTGAGAAAAGTTAATTTAGGCTCACAGAGGGAGAATTCCCCATCCCCTCTTCCCCACTCTAGGCCTGTGAAGGTTGGGTAGCCCTACTGAATAATGTGAGATAAAGCACAGGGAATCGCCATGGGAGGAGGAATCAGGCTTGGATGCTAATTTAAGGAAGCCTACGGAAGGAAAGCTTTCTACCTCTCTTCTGCCCAGAATCTCTGGCTTACTGTCTTGCTTGGCTCCCTAGGATCCCTAACCTATTTTTAGGGAATGTGGGTAGCTGCAGAGGGACTAGAACTTTCTTTTCTGCAGTTTGTCTAACATGAAGTGTAACATGAAGCGTGTGTGTGCGAGAAATTTTCTGGAGTTTCCACATGCAGAAAATGGGGGATGGGACATTCGAATATGCCACCTCTGTACATGGACGGAAGTGATAGTTCAGATGAGTGGAAAACATCTTTGCTCCTCTTTGCTCATCCTTGTATACTTGGCATGGCCAGTTGGAGATGGGAGCTATGACTCAGCACCTCTGGAGGACAGCAGGTTGGGGATAATGGGAATTGCACTCAGAACATATTGGGAGGGATGAGGGTTGGAGAAAGGAGTACCTCCGAGAACGCCTGCTTGATTCTCCCTTTCTCTGTTCTTCCCCTGCTGCAGCTCCACAGTAATCGACTTGACATGACTGGAAAAGGTGAGTGATGGGCAATGTGCTCCCTGGCATGTGCAGAGAGGAACAAGTAGCAACTGGGGTTCCGAGGGGAAACATGAGATTGCTTAATCAATCCAAAAACAGGGAAGATGGGGAAGAGCCGGGGGATCAGAAACGGCTCTCTGGGAAAGGGGAGCTGGCCGACTGGCATCTTCAGTTGTGGTGTGTGGGAGGAAAGAGCTGTGCACGGGTGTAAAAGCTGATCGACAGAGTGTGGTGGACAAAAAGGCCTCATGGCAGGATGGAGGGCGTGATCAGAACGGGTTGCTCTGTTGCTCCCTAAACCTGTACCCCATAAAAGCCAGCGGTGCCCATTCCTGCTCTGTTCTCTCCACAGCTCATGACAGCCCCTTCTTTTCTCCATGGTGTCTCTTCCTGCCTTGTGTAGATGTTGGGAGGGTGTCAAGCGCTCCCACACGCACACCCGCCAAAGAAGCCACACGTATCATGCTTGGATAGAAGGAACCTACCAGAGACCAGCTAAGCCACCCCTGTATCTGTCCATGTGTCTGTCGTGTTGGTCGTTGTGTCAATAAAGTAATCCTGACGGGGTGATCTACATGTGCATCTGTTTTCTTGGGGAGTGGGGAGAATGGGGCAGGGGAACAGTGCCAGAAACCACCCACACTTGAGTTTGGAGGGGGGCCTAGTCTGAGCAGATGCCTGGAAGATGAGCCGAGCAGAGCCTGTTTTTGTTCACTGGCTTTATTGGGGGGGACGGGACAGAACGGGGGTAGGATTGTCTCCTCATCGGGGGTCGCTGCAGCAACTTTGCACAGGGAGGAACTGCCTCGAAGACTGGGGAGCCTGCTTGGCTGGGGAGCCTTGTTCTGTATTAGTTTTGGGGAGGCAGATAAAGAAATCCTTGGTTCCCCCGCACATCTTCTTCCTCACCTAGAGTGCATGCTCTCTCTTCCTTCTGCTGCTGCCAAAGACAAAGAAACAGAGACACAGGCACATAGGAGGCTGACGAAGGAAGAACAGGGTTTTCCAAAGGCCCTCTGAAATGTGGAAATGCCCCAGACCAGGGCATTTCTCGGCCCTGCTGCCTATCCAGCCAAGGCCCTTGCTGGGCATCAGTCCCCCTTCATTAGCTGGTTCTCCAGAGTCCCTGATAGCCACTCTCAGGTTCATTGTTGCCTCTGTATTGAGGCCTTTTCTACCATCGGGCCGAAGAAGCAGCCTTTGCTTTGTTCACCACAGTCAGCCCTGGGGATCTGCATACCTCGTGGTTAATTTGGGCCATTCATGAGTTATGAGTAGAAAGCCCAAGCTGTTTGGGCTCATGGGATGGAAAAAAAGACTCACCTATAATATGCTGATTTTTCTCCAGTTCTGGCGATAGGCTGCTGCCTCTTCCTGCTCATAGGCGATGGGTGCGTCTGAGTGGTAAAAGCGCAGGCGATAAAGCAGCCGCACCCACTGCCCAAAGACATGCTCCTGTTTGAGGGGATGCGTGAGAAGTTGCAGATAAAACGTACGGCCATTGGCCAGGCGGACTTTGAGCTGGAACCGTGACTCGTCGTGAATGTAGAGCCGGACAAACTTCAAGGGCAGAAGCCTAGGAGAGAAGAAGGTCCCAGGTGTGTTAGGACAATCTGGAATGGGACTCCTAGACCCAAGTCACTGCTCTTGCAGCAGTATGTCAGCAGTCAAAGAATGCCCTCCAGGATCCCTTGCAGCCATTCCCTGTTATCTCATAGATTCGGTTCAAAGTGCTGATACTGACCCATGGAGTACTCAATGGCTTTGGCCCAACACAGCTAAGGGAACACTTCCAATCAGCTGTTCTGCCACAGGGTGAGCAGCCTCTTTCTGTTGGTGACCACAGTCCCTTGTGTACAATCTGTGGGGCTGCATGCCAGTGGCAGGCGGGTTATCAAATGTGGTGGGTTGTCCCCTTTTACTCTTTCAGCTGCCCCCTTTTCACTCCCTCCTTGCCACCCACCAAGGTGCCAAGAAGGGGCACATCACTCCTGCCAGTGGTCGGAACGGACTGCATGCAGGGGGCTTTTGAAATTAGGCCATGGGCTGTGTTCAAACCTTAGGGCCCAAGTTGGCCACCCCTGCTTTAAGATTTAATTAAGCCTTTCTCTCCCGTGGCAGATGGTAAATTAACCTAGCAAATTAAGAAAAATGAGTTATCACAATTATCTTGTCAATGTTCCTATCTTGTTTCCTACTGCACTTTGCACAGAAATGCTACAGACATTTTAATGACCTTTTGACCCTGCTGTTTTCTTCTGCATACTCATGATGTGTGCGCAACACACATCCACACAACCTATACATGCACTATAATACATACATCCTGCATCTGAGGAAGTGGGCATTAATCACCAAAACCTATGCTATAATAAGTCTTGAAAATATCATAAGATTCTTTGCTGCAGCAAGCTAATATGTCTACTCTTCTGGAATTAATTTGACCTATCCAGAATGTATTCTTGAAACATTTGTTAAAATTTTAAAGCTTCCCTTCTTTTTGCATTTAGCTGTCCCCCCCCCCCCCCCCCAGCACACATCCAGAGAAAAGACCGGAGAAATACTCTAAGCATGTGTCCTATTAACAAGTTATTGAAAAGGTCGGTCCACAACAAATCATCCCTCATCCACGACCTGATTGTACATACACTATTCAATATCTATTTGATATCTACATGAAACCGCTGGGAGAGGTCATCAGGAGGTTTGGGCTGTGGAATCATCAGTACGCTGATGATACCCAGCTCTACCTCTCATTTTCAACCGATCCAGGTGAGGCTGTGGCTGTACTGAACCGGTGCCTGGCCGAGGTAATGGGCTGGATGAGGGCCAATAAACTGAAGCTCAATCCAGACAAGATGAAGGTCTTGTCGGTAGGTGGTTCGGGCTTCGGGGAAGGGGACCTTGACCTTGTCCTGAATGGGGTTGCACTCCCTCTCAGGGACAAGGTCCGCAGCTTGGGAGTGCTCCTCGATCCAGAGCTTTCACTGGAAGCTCAAGTAACAGCAGTGGCGAGGAGCGCTTTCTTTCAGCTTCAGCTGATCCATCAGCTGCGTCCCTACCTGGAGAACGATTGCCTGGCAACAGTGACTCACGCATTGGTAACTTCCCGACTAGACTTCTGTAACATGCTCTACATGGGGCTGCCCTTGAAGACAGTCTGGATACTCCAATTGGTGCAAAACAGAACTGCCAGGTTGCTGACGGGGACTGGGCGTTGTGCTCACATAACTCCAGTCCTCCGCCAGCTTCACTGGCTCCCCATTGAAGTCTGGGCCCAATTCAAGGTGTTGGTTTTCACCTATAAAGCCCTTAACGGCTTGAGTCCTGGTTACCTAAAGGAGTGCTTACGTCCATATGTGCCCTCCCGCCCCTTGAGATCAGTGGCAGAGGCCCTTCTCCAGGAGCCCTCCATGAAGGACATTAGGAGGGTGAGTACCCGGAGGAGGGCTTTCTCTGTGGTGGCGCCCAACCTATGGAATGTGCTCTCCAGAGAGGTCTGCCTGGTGCCGTCGTTATTTGCTTTTTGGCGCCAGGCCAAGACCTTTTTATTTAAACGGCATTTTAATTGTTGATTTTATTTATTGATTTTAACAACTTTGGCCAGGATGTCTCCAATTGCATTTTATTGTATTAATGATATTGATTTATTTGTAAGCCGCCCCAAGGCTTAGGCGGATGGGACGGCGTATAAGTCCGCTAAATAAATAAATAAATAAAACAAATAAAACAGGTTTCATCCACCTAGGGCAACCTTCTCCAACCTGGCGTCTTCCAGATGCTTTGGACCACAGCTCCCAGAATTCTTGACACTTGACCATGCTAGCCGGGTCTCATAGTCCAAAACACCTGGAAGGCTCCAGATTGGGGAAAGCGGACTTTGTGCAAGGGATGGGACTTCAGAACTGGAAAATGTGCCTTTTAGGCAACCTTGAGTGCGAGACTATTTTCTCCTCACAAGATCAGTCAGAGAACCAAGGGCCGCTGGGGTGCTGCGCCCCACCCTGCTTTCCAGGAAAAGCATAATAGCCAGGGGGAGACCAACCTAGCCTTCCTTACGCATTGGCCAGAGAAGGAAGATCTTCAGGGTTCAATTACGCTGATGTAGGACTCTATGGAATGTCCTTTTGAGCAGACTGGCCACACGCACACACGTGTACGTTGCAGAAGAATCTCACCCAAAGAGCTGCAGCTCCTCATCAGGAAAGGGCAATGCTTCAGGACACTGGCACTCGCATTGCCCTGTCAAGGATGGGGCTGGCCGTGCCAGCAGCATGAGATCAGGCAGCTCCAGGCTTGGGCTGGTGGCAGCAATGCCCATGGTGACCCTGTTGGCTACATCCCCTGTCTTGGTAACCTGGAAAGAATGAGAGATTTGCCTTGAGGGCTTCTTCATACCTTCATAGTTGCTAACTGCTGCCAGAGAACGTCTTGGAGTAAACATTTACATATTGACTATTATACTTGTGAACAGACAGGCAGGCATCTGGTCATCCAAATATCTGGGGTTTCCCCACATATTTAGAGCCAGCTAAATAAAGGCTCATTTGAAAAGATACAATGCTTGGAAAGCTCAGTGGCAAGAGAAAACGAGGTTGCCAAAGAGTACCAACTTTGACGGTCAGACTCCATCAAAGAGGATATGGGCCAGAGCCTGGTTCAGCTGAATGGCACAGCACAAGATCAGAAAGTGTGGTGAGATTTGGCCCGTAGGATTGCTTATAGTTGGGCACAACTGAGCAGCTGAACAACAAATAAAGGCTAGGCCAATTTTTCCCAACTTGAAGAACTCCAAGGCAACTGGAGGACACCAACTCCCATCAGTGCCAGTCAGCATGACCAATTGTCAGGAATTCAGGGAGTTGTAATCCAAAACAACTGAAGGGCATGAGATTGGGGAAAGCAGTAGCACTATTCAGAACTGACTCAGTTCCTTGGTGATGAAAAAGCACCCAAACATGGAGGCATCTGATCCATCCAATGCACGGCAAGAGGGACAGTAGAGGCAATCTTTGCCTCCCTATCCTTCTGCCACGTAGATCTTGCTAGATGGACTTTTCATCCTGTCTAACTAGGGCACTTCAATGGAGGAGGGAAGGAGACAGCAAAAGGCTCAGTGTAACCCATACCCTGGGATCTTCAGCTCTGCCCCTTCCTGCCCACTGAAACTCCTCCTTTTCCTCCCCTTCAAGGTTGAGTTTTTAACCTTGGAGAGGCAGATGGCACAGTTCTTTTCGAATCAGGAGCAAGGAGGAGGCTGGGCCAGATCTCCTCCTCCTGAGGTCAGAGCACTATCTCTGATCTTGCAAGGGTTTTATGAACCATCCTCTAATCCCTGGGATGCTATCAGATATTTCAACTGAAATTGTTCAGCTTCTGACTATTTGTAAGACTTTCAGAGTAATCATAGAATCATAGAATGGTAGAGTTGGAAGGGGCCATGAGGGCCATCTAGTCCAACCCCCCGCTGTTGCAGGATGCCAGGTTACACCATCCCACTCAGATGACGGTCCAGTTTCTTCCTGAATGTCTCTAGTGTGGGAGAGCCCACGACCTCTCCAGGCAAGTGGTTCCACTGTCGTCTTGCTCTGACAGTGAGAAAACCTTCCTGATATCAAGCAACTTGACTTGATTATTCCATGTCCTACACTCTGGTATCAGCAAGAAGAGCTCTTGACCTTCCTCTTTGTGACATCCTTTGAAGTACTTCTGGAAGGATACCATGTCCCCCCCTCAGCCTTCTCTTTCCAAGGCTGAACAGGCCCAGTCTCTCAGTCTCTCCTCATAGGGCAGAGTTTCCAAACCCTGGATCATTTTTGTTGCCCTCTGCTGGACCCTTTCTAATTTACCTGCATCTTTCTTAAATCTTGGTGCCCAGAACTGGACACAGTATTCCAGGTGAGGTCTGACTAGGGAGGAGTATAGAGGAACTACAACTTCTCATGATTTGGAAGTAATGCTAGACAGCATCCAGATAGAACTCTGAACAATCCTACAGCCCCTCTGAAGTCAGAAAATCAGCCCACCCTTGAAGCGGGGGATATTTGCTCAGATTCCTGCTGCCTCTGCTCCAGTTCGCACACAATGACTGCACCAGGTTCTTCTTTGAGGTTGCACAGGCAACCTTGGAGAAGGGGTTTCATGAGTGTTCTGGGCGAGCAGGAGGGGGCCGAGACCAACAAGATACCTCAGCCTCCACTTCGGCCCCAAGCTGCCCTAGTTAGCCAGCTGAATTCAGCTGTCTTGCTCATTCTGCTCTGCATAGGAAGTGTTTAATCCACAGGCTTGGAGGGTTACGGGCATTCCCATTGGGTTGCACACTTTATCTATTATGCAGCATGCTGAATTAATGGTATAATTAAAATTGCTTATTAAATATAAATCAAAGATGCTGAATCAGATCCCAGTCTGTTTATGTCACTGATTTTTTTCCTAGAAAAAACACTTATTCCCAAGTAGAAGCCAGGGAAAAGACAAATACCCAACCCCCAACACCGGGTAGGAAAAAGTTGTGTTAGAAAAAGATCTGGAGTCATGAGATATGGGCCAGAACAGAGGTAGTACACAGCATTTTAGCAGGTGAAAGAAAATCTAAATAGAATGCTCCCTTCTTTAAGTTTTAACAGATTCTATGTAGGGATGCAATCTTTCTAAACTAATCAGATTAACTAACTGAGAACATTTTTAATAAACTAAAACAGTATCCCCAATTAACCAGCAACACGTTTTTGTAAAATTCTAAAAAAATTAAAATATTAGATTTTTAAATATTAAAAGTGGTCACATTTTAAATATAAATACATATTTAAACTGGAGATAGTAGACCCCCATCTTCTAAGAAAAGATCCTGTATTTACTCTTCCATAGGACAGAATACTTCTCCTATTAAAATGGTGCTTGCTACAATATGTACATGCACTGGTGAAAAGCAAAGTAGATATATTTGCCCCATAAAAACCATTGTTCTAATCAGTGGTGGGCAAGAGGTGTTTCGACCTGTAGGTCAAATTAGCTATGCTCATGAGAGTTCTAGGCCAAAATATGTGGAGGGTTGCAACTAACCTGGTTTAAATCATATGCAAATTTATGCAGATGAAATAATTTGATTCACTGATCTCGTTAACTCATTGAGGATGATCAGATGACAACTTTGCTTCAATGACACTTGCTAGCTTTAGCTAGAAGAAGTTCCCACATCTTCTGCCTTCAGTCACTTCACCAGATGGTGGTGCTGAGTGAGACAGCATTCAATGATTCCTGGGCTTTATTTATATATTCATTGCATTTTAAGCTACTCAAGATCCTTAGTTCTCTGGGAGATATTCAAGTAAAAGCAAAAATTATAAATAAAACTACAACCAAATAACTAAAATAGCACAAGTCTAAGAGCGCTACAACCTTTTTTCCAATGCCTGTTGGGAGAAGAGGTCTTCTCCTAGCACTTAAAGGTCTATAAATAAAGTCATCAGGTGAGTCTCTCTGGGAAAGGCACCCCTTGGAGGGCACTCCCACTAGAGAAGTTCCCTTTTGTAGCCACCTGCCTTGCCTCATTTGGCAGTGGCACCTGGAGGAGGGCTTCGATGAAGTCATTAGTGGTCCAGGAATGTACTTATGAGCGGACATTTCTAACTTGCTCCCATGGTAGTTCACCTGCATAAAATTGCTTTCAAAAAGGGGACAGTCTTTCAGCAAGCCGTACTCCCCTGTGGCTAGGCACCTGCGCAGGTCTCCCATCCCAAAACCTGGACATCCGGTGGGCTCAGAAGGAGTCTGGGCTACTGCAGCCTAGAACCTGTTGAAAGAAAAGAAGAAGCAGCCAGGGCCAGCCCTACTGTTAGGTAGATTTGCAGCAATTGCCGCTGATGGCCCATGTTGTGAGGTGGCAGCAAAGCGCTGGAGCAGAGAGCTGTGTCCATGTAGCCTGTGCTGCATCCCTGGGTCAGCTTGCTGTCTTCAGATTCAGTTGAGCAGGGCTGAGCAGAAGATAGCTCTCCAGATGTTTGGACTTCAGAAGCCCCAGAAGCCCCAGCCATCACAGCCAATGATCAGGAATGCTGGGAGTTCAAAAGATGTTGAGAGCTACCTTTTACCCACCCCTATAATGGAGGATGCTCTCCCTTACTGGTGTTGAAAAGAACTTCATCTGCCAATCCGGTCAGCTTTTGTATATGCAACGGCAGGGTGTGCCATCCTGTTCTTGCCTCAGGTCTTGGGCTGGCCCTGAGAAGTAGAGGGGCACCATGAGAAAAGTCCTAAAGCACTGCGAAAATCCGTTCTGGCCACATGATAGAAAAGCTGAAAGGAAAGGCAGGGCTGAGATATTTTGCTATCTGAGGCCAAGGACAGGATGGCTCGTACCCCTTCCACTTTGCACGTGCAGAAGCTGATGGGACTGCCAGCGGAATCTTATGCCAGCACTGCTGACCATGTAGCATCCTCCACTGCTCCTGAGGCAGCATAGCAGGTCATGCGGTGCTAAGGTTCTTGTCTTCCAGACCCTGGCGTACAATAACCATGGCCTGAGGTAATTGCCTGACTTTGCCCAGTGGTAGAGCTGGCCCTGGGGAAAGGGTGAGAATTCCACGAGAGCATGCACTTTTATATGAAAAGGTCTAGCATAAACTTCCCTACCCTGTTGTCCTCCAGATGGGTTGGATTACAATTCTCATCATCCCCCCAGCTCACCTGGGAGTTGTAGCCCAACTCAACTGGAGAGCACCTGTTTGGAGAAGGCTGAGCTTGCATATATTGAGCTAGAGGGACTAGTCTGACATAAAACCAGTGTAGCAGGATTAATTTGCCTTTGCTGGAGGCCTGACTGCTGTATTTACCACTCCCCTTCCCCAGAGTTGCTTTGGGAATGACATTTCAGAAAAAATACTGAGAAACTGAAAAACAATAATTTAAAGGCCCAATTCAGGTATATCTATTAATCAATTGATCTTTTTTGGGTGACTCTCTTATCTTCCCCCTGAAGTTTTGGCATTTTTATTAGATAAAGGAAATAATCTGAACTAGTAGTCCAAAACCCTACATTTTAAAAACTCTGTTCTTTCCTTACCCATATCCAGGTTGAGGGTGGCAGGGGGGATATTACCCTAACCAGTAACAAACAGTGGACAGAAAATGAGAGGAATTGAAATGCTGCAGGACACCGGTCAACTTCCTAAGAATTCTCCAAAGAGCAAAGGAAAGGGAGAAAATGAAACCTTCCACCTCTACTGCTTTCATGAAAGCTAAGCTTCTGGCAAGGCCTGAGCCTGAAGCAAGGAATATGAAGATAAGGAAGCACTGGTGGCTGAAGAGGGGGTATTGATGTCCCAATTGCATGCCCACATGCTGTATTTCGGCTGCATATTCCTGCAGCAGCAGCACCTATGGCAAGAATAGTGGGAAAATGAGGCACAGCATCCCTCCTCTTCCTGTGGCCTGGCAGGTGCACTAGAGTACAACTCACATTAATCTAGCCTGTGGAGGGGGAGGAGAGTTGTAGTCCAACCACCTTAAGTGCTGAGGGTGGTGGGGACTGTTGTCCAATATATACCAGTCCTGGGAAAGGACTGCTTAGGCAACTTGTGAGCGGTTTCCCTCATCAATGCATTGCTGCTAGGAAAAGGCAGAGTTCTGCAAGACAGCGGCGGAGTCGGCACAAAGGCACGTGCATATTCGCAGGTAAGTTTCATTGAGCTCAGTAGCACTCGCTGCCAAGCAAGGGAGGCGGGGGCTCCTCTATCAGTGGGAATCCTCATCCACTGCAGCTTTCATTTTGACCTTGTAAGAGCCGTCCAGGATGGTGAACTTCTTCCGGGGGGGGGGGGTGGAGTTCAGCACCATGGATGGCTCCTGTGAAGTTCCAAAGTCAAAAGTGCAACGGACGAGGGGCTCCACTGACAGAGGAGTCATCCACCTCTCCATCTTCCATGTAAAGCTGCCAGCATCGCAGCCCAAGAGATGCCCCTTTTTCTCGTCGGTGCCCCATGTCTGCCGAGGGACTGGCGTCCACTGCAGGACGTTTCCCTATCGCAGGGGAGCCGCGCTTCCACACAGCTCGTGCGGAGTCTGCAGCCTTCGGCGCGCGCACCTAAACCTCTTTTAAAAACCTCGGCGCGCGCTAAAGAGTAGGCGGGCTGTGATTGGGTCTTTCTCCTCACCGCTCCTCCTCCAGGGTGTTGCGTGCCCCGCACGCGGCCTCGCTGCGCTCTCGTCCCTCGTCACGTGACGCAGGAAGGCAGCCATGGAGGCTGTGGGGGTCGCTGGAAGGCCTCTCCTCCTCTCGGCTTCGGTTTTCCTTCTCCTCTGCTTGGCACGGCCGCAGCACTTCCTCGTCCAAGCCGCCGGAGTCGGGGGCTGTCGCGGGGAGTCAGGCCTCCGGGTAAGTCAAGTAGTGGAGCTCCCTGGTTAAATATGCACCAGGTCCGAGCAGCGATTGGCCGTCGGGAGGCCAGCTCCGGTGCGGGACGTGCGCAGGAAGAGCGGCCCGGCTCTTCCAGTATGAATGGGAAGCCGCCCGCGGGCAGGAAGGGGGGGGGTCCTGTCCCCCTGGGGCTGTGGGTGGTCTCCGGCGAGTGGTCTGCTGCTTCTGGATGTGCAGGGGCCAGTCGGTAGTCCTCGGGACTAGTGACCCTTGAGAGCCTTCTTCCTGCATGACTTTCTCTAGCTCTTTTTTGGAGCCGGCCGGGTTGGTGGCGGTTCCCACATCTTGTGGCAGTGATCTCCGTTGTACAGCTCTGCACCGTGTAGAGTGTTCAGGATCACTGGATGATTCGGAGTTGTATGGCTTCCACTCACTGTGCGTTACTTGTATGCCTCTGCCTTTATCGTGTCTATCCTTTCCCGGATTTTGAGTCTCTTGAATGACTTGGTACAGTTGTCATAAATCAGAGAATTTTAACTACTTGGCTTTTGAAATATCTTGACTCTCCCGGGATTTACCTTCATTGGACGATCTTGGCTTTTATAATTATTGCTAGTGTGGATGGGGGTGTGCTAGTTAATATTCATGAGGAAGGGGAAGTTTCAACTTGGCACCTGTGCCATTAATGTTTGTGAGATGAGGCTGATGTTTAGAATGAAAGCAAACTTGGTGGCTGTGCAGGGGATGGTATTGAATGAATATGGGTGGATAACAGTATACTGTAGTAGTTGGAGCAACTTTCCTCAACCCAGTGGCCTCCAGATGGTTTGGACTACCACTCCAACAACCCCTGACCATTGATCATGCTTTTGGGGCTGATGGGAGTTGTAGTCCCACTTGAAAGGTTGCATTAGTGAATTAAGACTGGGAGTACCCAGGTTCACTGAAACATAGCCAACTCTTGTATAGCATGTCAAAACAGTGAGCTATCTAGTATTGTGTGAAACTTTGGAGTTTTCTATAGTATGTTTTTCTCAGCTAGGAGATTCCAAAGATTAAACCTGGAATCTCTTGCATGCAACACATATCCTCTGCTGTTGAGTTGTGGCTCGTTCCTCTAACCTTTTCTTTGGCTTTCTGGCAGCAGTTTGAGTCCCATGGGACCAGCAGCAGTGGAACAGAAACTCATAAGGAACTGCCGAGCACTGCTAAAGATGCTCCATACTAGTGTTCCCCAACCTGGCTTATTCCAGATATTTGAACTGCAACTCCCAGCATTCCCATGTCGGCTGAAGTTGATGGGGTTGAAGTCCAAAACATCTGGAGATCACTAAGATCGCTCCACACAATCTCACTGAGTCATGAAGCTTACTGTATGATCTTGGGTTGGTTGCCATCTCATCTCAGCTTGCCATATGTAACAGGGCTGTTGCAAGGGCAAAATGGGGAAGGTCACTGAAGAGTACTAAGCATGTTGCTTTGAGTTCCTTTGAGGAAATGTAAAAAATACAGTAAATGGTCCTGTGCACAATTATAAGAAAAAAAATCCTTGTGAGTTCAAGAGAGCTCATTCTCAAGTAAGAATTGCAGCCTCCAGGTGATCAAAGCTCAAATAGAAATATGTTAACCAAAGAAGCCACTTGTTACAGCCATGCAAACCATGCTCAGAAAGCAAACATTGCTTTTCTGGCCTTGGGGCTGTTGGTGCAGCCTCAGATTGGTTTTGCACCTAGAAAAGCCTAACCTACACTTCCTCCAATCTATTGAATGACAATCACGTCTTGCTGCTTGTTCATCTGGTACAGTAAAAAGTTCTGAGAGCTTTTTTGCTGAATGAATGATTTATAAAAGCTTTAAATTGAGAGCCAGTGTGGTGTAGTGGTTAAGAGCGTGGGACTGGGACTCAGACGATCTGGGTTCGAGTCCCGGCTCAGCCATGGAGCCAACTGGGTGACTTGGGGCCAGTCACAGACTCTCAGCCCAACCTACCTCATAGGATTGTTGTTGTGGGGATAAGATGGAGGAGGAGAATGAAGTAAGCTGCCTTGAGTCCTTTGTAGGAAAAAGGCGGGATATAAATCGAAAATAAATAAATAAAATAACTAAATAAAGCCCATTTCTTTTTCTGCCAGCCCCTTTTCCTTTTGCTTAACATCTAGCCTAATTTGTTCCTGACATCAATCAGTCCTACAATAGAATTATCTAAACTATGTTTTAATGTTCTGTCCTGTCAGAGTTCATTAATCAGTCCTGATGTATGCCATCACCCATCAACAGTGCCCTCTTCCAACTAATTGGGACAAAGAGGTCAGTCTGCAAAAAATCCACATAGCTGATGCCAAGAGTTTAGCAGTGGCAACATTTACAACTTAGTAGAAGAATATTTCAATTTCTTGTGATATTGTGCTGCTAGTCTCTTAAGTCACCATTACCAAAAGACTGAAGCAGGAAATTGTGCACTTGAAACTGCAAAGAGTTGGCCAGCAAATTTGATCCTGTTTGTGTAGGCCTTGTTCAAAACCAGGGCTTTCCCTTTCAGAGTTCAGGTTAAATGTGCATAACCAATCTTGGAACACTACATTGTCTCCAGTTATGCTTGTTGTAACTTATCATTACAAAACTTGTATGTATTTGAATTTTATGTAGAAAGGGCACAAATGAAACATTTTTCATCTTCACTTTTTGTTAACACTTTCCCTCTCTAGCCCTGCATGTGCCCATATACAATGCATGTGTTTGCACATAATGATAAGCTCGGGTTTGAAACTGGCTTATGATTCCTGGCCAATTTTGAAACAACGAACTAAGATCCAAGGTTTGGACGTCACAATAACGCTACCCATTTCTGCTTTTTTTTACCTGCTTGTGTGAAAGGGCTGCATGTACCAATATATTGCTTATTCTTAATAAGCCAGGAATTTTAGCTTATTGTGTTATGCAAACATGGTCAATATAACCTGAGAGTAGCACTTAATAAATCTGATGAAGGAGGCTGTTCGTTCATGAAAACTTGTACCACAAAAAAAATATTTTAGTGGATAAATTGTTTTCAGCTGTTTTACATTTTTGTGTATTTTAGGCAAAGCCCTGTCCCTGTCTATTCAGAAGTATATCCTGTCAAATTTAATGGGGCTTACTCTCATGTAAGTGAGTTTGGGAGAGTTTATAAAGAATAATTTGAAAAGCCTGTTAATCTCCAGAGTACCTCAAGATCCATACTTTGAGGTTGTAAGTCTTTACTCTTTCTGGTGCTGCCCTGTTATGTTCACCAGTCATTAAGATACCAGGATCACATACTCTCAGATCTCTTTGAGAGTCAGTTCTGTGCCACAGTTGCCTGTGCATGCTTGAGAAATCCGCAAGCAGAATGTTATTTCATTTTATTTATGAATGGGATTGAGTCATCTTTTGCTATTTATTGTTTTAACTTTATTACTGATTGTACTTTCACTATTATTGTTGATTTTAAACTTTGTAAGCCATCCTGAGACATTACCGTGAAGGACAGGATAGAAATGTTTTAAATAAATAAATAATAAATCCAGTGCTTTGTCTGTTAAATAGGGAGAAATGACAGTGGGGAGGGGGTTGTGGAGATTTGGAGACAGGGATGATGGGACCAGTAACTGAGAGTACGTATATTGGCATTTGCCTGTGATTCTCCTCTGTTGTTTCCAGCCAGGTGAGGCCCGTGACTCTGAGTCTTGTGGACTAAGCCTACAGCTTGAGCATTCATTTGAGCTGGGTGAGTATTTGGTTGTGTGAGGGGCTGGCAAGGCCAACGGTGATTAGAACTTTAGTTGTGCAATATAGCCAGGGTGAGTTGCAAGTGAAGGCATGAATGGGCTTGTGGTGTTGGTGGCCCAATCCCAACCTACGTGTACATGTGTTGAGTGCCTACATGGAGCTTGTCTAAATAATGTATGTAAGATTCTCTTTGTGCAGCTGGGAATCTTGGAAAAGTCTGTTTCTGGCTGGCATGGAGAGAAGCCTGTATATGTACACAGTTATACTGCATGACTTCATGCTGATGTTAATCTGAATGCATGTGGGGGATCCTTCCCGTTCACACACATTCCCTCACCCTGGATATTTAGTCTGAAGAGGCTTCAGTATTGGAAGAAAACTATCATAATCCCAGTCTTGTGCCATTCCTGGTTGAAGCAAGGCATGTTTGGTTTGATTTTGCCTTTCTAAAAGGTAGCTTTGGATGTTATTCCCCTTTCTCTGGTGTATCAGAACAGAGGTAGAGTTGCATGGGATGTAGTTTCACTTAATGCAAGATGAAAACATAAGAACAGTCCTGCAGGATCAGACCAAAACCCCATCTAATTCACAGATGCCTCTGCGGGGCCTGCTGGCAGGACCCAACTCGACCAGGTTTGGCAACAGGTAAATCTCCAAATGTTTTAGACTTTGGCTCCCAGCATTTCTGACAGCTGGTGTCGCTGACAGGCATCTGGGAATTGAAATCCCAAATGTTTGGGAGATTTATCTTGTGTTCACCCATGATCTAGACGAAATCCAGACTTAATTTGTTCATAACGGTGACAAAATAACATAAAGCCCATCATATGAATTAACCTACGAATAGCCATAGCACATGTTGGGTGTGTTCGGCCACCATTTTGTGTGTGCTTCTTCCAGTCAGGTTGACCAGAAGCTGCTGCTTCACAGCAAAACACAACTGACTTGACTTTAAATGGAATGTCACTTGACAATCAGCAACCCACAATTAACCTACACTACTTGTATTTTCTTAAACTCACAATTAACCTTTAGTATCCAGTTCTGGTAGCATGTAGCAATCTCTGAGGGCTGAATTTTGTGCAGGGGTAAAGTAAAGGGGATGCTGGCTGGGTGATGTGTGGGTGCCTGTTTGAGAAGATAGTGAGGAAAGAGCTGGGGATGCATTCCCCAGCTTGTCTGGGAGAAAAACTCTGGCTATTTTAGTTTACCAAATCATGGTGGCATGGGTGCTCGGGAAGCTGGGATCCTACTTAGGTTAACCAAACTGGAAAGTTCATGAATGTGACTAAGATCCGGCAGAGGATATTGCCAATAGGAGTAGGAGGGAGGGAAATTTTGTCTGTTCCCCTCTTCCCGTCTGGTCTTCAAGAGGGTTTCTCAACCCTCTAGGGGGCGAGCACAAGGGGCTGCAGGAAGAAGGAGGGATTGCAAAACACCTTCTCTTGGAAGGGAATGTTCCTTGAGCAGAACTCCATGGAGTGAGGGTGTGTTTATGTCAGCAGCAACAGCAAACTTAAATCCCAACCATAATATACAAGTGGGGATTGCATAGGATCCGGATCTCTCCTGAGTTTTCTGTCTTCCATAGATGACAGCACCCGATTCAAAAAGCGTGGCACACTCCAGTGGAACATGGGCCCTGAGCCCAGCATCTCACTAAGCCAGAAGCAGTTAACTGAGGAAGAGCGCAACAAACTTAGGGTGAGTGCAGGTACAAAGGGGATGTACTGGCTTTGAGGGGGCAGAGAGAAATGGGCTCACTTAGCAGAGAAAGAGAGCCGCATCTTTGTGGGGGCTGGGTGCAAATCATGGGAAAAGTTGGAAACGGATGGAACCTGTTAATACTTGCAAGGATGCCGAGCTAGTAGTGTCTGCCTTTCGACCTATTCTGCTAGCTATCAGCATGATCTGTGTATGTGACCTTTGAAATACAGTTCTTAGCATTCTATTAATGTTGCTTTAAAAATACAGAGAAAGTTTCTAGCTTTTTTGATTGAGGGTAGAAGCTTGGAAATGCAACACTTTCTCATTTGGCCTTCCTTTTAAAAATTTAGAATTTAAATAAAGTAGTCTTTTTCAACATGGTGTCCTCCAGATATTTTGTGCTGTGATTCGTAGTATCCTTGGCTACTAGCCATGTTCACTGGGGGTTATGCAGGTTGAAGTCCAGAACCTCTGAAGAGTACCATGGTTGGTGAAGGCTACTTTAAATCGTTGCAGAAACAAAATAAATGATGAAAAGTGAAACTAAGCTACCCTGAGATCACAAATTTGATTTGTAGATTCTGAATATGGCTTGGTAGGGTGGATTATTGCCTCTTTTTTTCTCCCTGTGTATCCTTCTTCTCTCTCTCAAAACCCCAGGAGGTAGCCATAGAGGGTGGACTTTACCGTGTGCGGATCCCCCAACGGCCCTTGGGAAGCACAGAAGAAAGTGGTATTGGATATGTCACTTCTTTTGTCCGAGCAGTAAGTATTCTTAGCATCTCACAGGAAAGCCTTGCCCATTCCCTAGCAGAGATCCTCGCTCAAAGCTTGCGTAGGGCATAGATAGAGAAGGCATGCAGATCTTCTGATCCACAAGCCTAATTTGGGCCACAGAGGTTCTGCCTCTGCCCCCTGGAGCTTCCTCAGGCTCCTCTGTAGATCTGAGATAGCAGCAGGGATGTGGGTGATGGGAGACTGGGATGGCCCTTCCCCCTTCCTCCTCCTTTGATTTGGGAAATGTGGGGAAACTTTGGCTTGGAACTTCCGATAAGTTGTGGCAAGGAAATTCATGGAAGGAAAGCGTCCTGTGCCCCATCTGATATTGCTGAGTGGGCACCTGTGATCCTGTGAAGAGGCTCTGGGAGTCAGGGCACCAGTGGCTACAAGAGGGAGAAAGGAAGGGATGGGAAACTCCTGTGAGATCCTTCCATTGGCTTATTGGAGGACTCAGGCCACTGCAGGTGGGACTTTTGAAATAGGGTTGTGAGTTAGTGTTTCCGAAACTTCCCGAGACCCTGGTTCCGTGGCACCCTACCCATTATGCCCCATAACCTGTAGGCCTCATCCTTATTAGGCCTTACGGCAGGGGCAGGCATCTCCTAATCCTGTCATGCTATGGCGGCTCAGGCTGATGGAGTTGGATATAGCAATGCTATAAATTGCCCACAGTTACCTTAGATGTTGTGTTTAGGAGCTGTGCTCTGTGTGTGTGTGTGTGTCATACAATCCCACAAACATCTTTGCCTCTTTAGTGGTTAGTATTCAAATTCAACTGCCCAAGTTACGGTGCATTATAAATATTCAATAAAAAACCCCATTTTAAAGAGCTAAGAATTACACACACGCAAACCTCACTCTCTACCTACTCAGACTGCCCTGCCTGCAAAAGGCTGGCTAAATTAAAAAACTGTGATGCTTCCTAAAAATACTTGATTTTGGAAAGGCTTAGAAGAAAGGAGCTCCTCATTCCATGCATGGCCACAAAGAATGCGCCTCTGCAAGCGCTTGGATTTTCACTGTTGTTATCCCCTAAGGCAGGAGCTCTGAACTGGACATGCTCTAGATGCATTGGACCACATTTTCTGTGTTTCTCAGCTTGGGAATGAGTGCTGAAATTATAAGAAACTGTGATAGAGCATAGGAAGAAAGCAACCCTGTTCAAAATTGATTCAGTCCCTGGCCAGAAGATGGCTTGTCGCCCACTTCCCTCAACATCTCAACAGGTTTTTGGCAAATGTGTGCGTGTGGGCCGATGTCTTACATGAAAGGATGAGACGATCAACCTTGCTTTTCCTTCCTTCTTTCCTCCCCACCCCACCCACCGCCCTGCAGTGCTCAATGGTGGAGTCTCACCTGTCTGACAGACTGACTGTCCACACAGATGTAACTGGGAACATCATTGGCCTGTCTGTGGTCACGGTGCCCAGCTCCTGCCATGGGGCTGAGGTGGAAGATGTGGACCTGGAACTATTCAATACTACTGTTCTTCTCCAACATCCAATCCCAGCGGCTGTGTGAGTGTCCTGGTGCTACAAGGAAGGGTGAGGTGCCCTCCAGACTGAACGAGACAATGCAGCAAGATCTAGCATGATCTTGTCAAGATTCTCATTTTCTACCACTAAGCCCATTCCAACCTGGGTTTTTGATTTGATTTGATTTTGTTTTTGCCCAGAAATTTGTGTATTTTTATGTCTGCATTTTCCAGGTGAGCACATTTGCCCAGCCTTTTTGGACATGTACATCCTTTGGCCAAAGCTTGCCTGGGCATATTTTAGAAATGGCTGCACTTTTCTATGTACACTGCACTGTGCGTGCTTTAGAAATGGCTGCACTTTTCTATTTTAGAATGTGTGCACGTCATTGAAGACTGTTTTTCATTTCACAGAAGGCATCGTCATCTCTGAAACATAGATTCCTGTCTGCATTGACATCTGTGATTAGATAGGGCAAATCCATTTAAAAACCTGACAGAGTGAATCTCTGGCAGCTGCCATGAGATGAGATGGCTGCTGACTTAGATGGCTGTACAAGGGAGATTAGAAGGCTCAGGCAGAACGAGTCTCTTGTGGCTTGTGATCATGACAGCTCTGTGGAACCTCCTGGTTTCAGAGGCAGTAGGCTGAGGAACAGCAGCAGGAGAGGGTTTATTTCAGGGAAGTTGAATCTCGGGCCAGTGGGCCACATCTAGCCCACCTCAGGACCCTCTCTGCCCTGAGGCTCCCCAAACAGCCACGCCCCTTCCCCAGGAACAACTCGGTGGGTCCCTGGCTATTTTGCCTTTTCTCTGCACTGTAAAAGCTTGACTTGCCTCTCTTGAAGCATCATTACTGGCATAACAAGCACTGTGATACAATATGCTGGGGGTTTTTGTACTTTGGCCCTGCCCACAACTGGACAGCAGTCCCTGAGAAGTGCTCTGAAATTAAATTGGGTCCTTGGGCTGCAGCAGGCTTAGCACCCAAGGTTGATTGCTCTCATGCCCTCCTTGTGGACGTCCAAAGCTTGTCTGATTGGCCATGCAGGGAGGCCAGAAGTTGACCTAGTTGGACCTTGTCCTGATTTAAGGACAGCTCCTACATTCTCAACAGATTGGAGGTGGGTGTTGAGGGCAAGGGTGGTTGTGGGCTTTGCACCGCTTTTGTTGATGCATATTCTGAAGGGGAGGATCCTGAGGATTCTGAGGCAAAAGCGGGAGGAGATGGAGGCAGAGGTAGAGGCAATTAGCTCAAGGACAGACATGGTGACAGGCCAGGCAGACCCTCGGAATAGCATGGAGATACAGCTAGTGGGTGGGGCCACTGAGGCTGGGGAATCCTCAGAGGGAGATCAGCCCTTCCCTTGGAGCTGGCCGCTGTGGCTAGGCGGCAGCAGACGAGAGGCTCCGCTGGATGAGAAGTGTGTGGAAAGGAGGTGTGCTTGCTTCCACAGTGCCCTTTCCCAGGGGTTGCAACACAAACCATCTTACAAGGAGAGTTTTGGGAAGTAGTTGCTAGATGGGGTTCAGCAAACTGCACTGTGTATGCTCAAAGACTTGTCTGCAAGATTTACAGTTGGAAACAGTAAAGAGCGGTCTGCAAGGAAACAGCCTGAGGCCGGTGATTGTCAGAGGGAGGAAACACCACTTGCGAAAGTGGGAAGTAGGAACTGTCAATTCTGGTTTGTCATGGAGGGGAAGGGAAGTATTGGAGCACAAGAATCTATTTTTTTTTCCTGAGAATTTGAAAGGCAGAGGAAACTGGCAAATTCATAATGAGTGGAGGTGGGATATCAGGATTATCAGGTTCTTTCTGGGAGGACCCAGGTCATTGAAGTTTTTCTGGGAGGAGAGGATATTCTTGTGAGTTAAGAAATAGGAAGTTGCAATCTGCAGCTTGCTGTAAGATATGAGGTCCGGCTCCTCCTAGATTCTCTGAAAGGGGCCGGCTGAAAAATGGGGATTCAGGTTCATTGGAAAGATTAGAGCAAATTTTCCCTATCTAGTTTGGACTACAACTCTCAGTAGCCCCAGCTGGCATGACAAGTAATTGAGAATAGTGGAACTTGATGTCTTTAACACCCGAAAGGCTACAGGTTGGGGAAAGTTGCATAGAGGGAGAATTCCCAGGAAATTTGGTGGCAGTGGCAGCAGTGAATTCAGAGACTTTGGCTGTGATCCTAAGCATGCTTCTCTTAAAGTAGTAAGCTTCATTGAAGTGGGCGGATCTTACTTCCAGGGGCACGGGTTTAGGATTGCATTGAGCGTGTAAGTGGGGCAGGGGGACTCTTGGCAGCCATTGTCTCATTATTTTTGATGATGGAAGGAATTGGGGAGCACAAGCAGGAGAGGTGGAGGGAAATATCAGAGCCTCAAATGAGTATTTTACTACAACATGCTGTGTGCATGCATGCACATGCATGGTGTATATTTCCTCTGAGGCAAAGTATTTTTTCACTGTACTGTTCTGATGAGAGAAACTGCAGTGCTTCCCTTGGAGCAGCCTTCTCCAAGCTGGTGTCTTCCTGATGTTGTGAACATCTCCCAGAATTTCAGAACATGGTGGCTGGGCTGATGGGACCTGGGGAATGCTAGCTTAGGTGGTGGTGGTGGTGCTGCTGCTGTTAATCCACATGGAAGATTGTATATTGAAGCATGTCAGACAAATAATGTGTTGCAATAAAATGTCATTTTAGTGTCATTTAAGTTTAGTGCCAAAGATCTGAAGCTTTGTTCCTCACTCTCTCTTGGCTTTGTGAAAGGTTGCTTTCCAGTGTTGTCACAGATGGCCTTTTTCTTTCTCACCCCCAGCCCAGAGACAGCAGCGTTTATTGAACGCATGGAGCAAGAGCAGGCTCAGAAAGCCAAGAATCCACAGGAGCAGAAATCCTTCTTTGCCAAATATGTAAGTGGTGGGGTAAAAAACTGTACACTCCTCCCCTCTTCTCCTCCTCCTGGGCACCCCTCTCCCCATAGTAAGTAATATAAGTTCCTGAGCCTGTTTGCTGGCTTGACTCTGAATCTGGCCCAACTACTGGTGTGGGTGGAGAGAGATCATGACTCCTCCCGCTGATCCTTGTTCTCCCCAATCCCTGCAGTGGCATTTAATTCTGGGAGGGGCAGTGCTTCTCCTAGTGACCAGCTCTGCAGCAGCCCCTCAGGAGCCGGGACGTCAGCCCTGAGCAAAAGTAAAGCCACACCCAGCTCTTCTTGCTTCCGGCTTTCTTTGCACATCTCTTATGTAGCTTGGATTTCTTCAGTGTTTTCTCTCTCTCTCCCCCCACCCTCTGCTCACACACAATTTCTCCACGGAAGGTAAAAAAAAAGCCTTCTCTCCTCTTAGACTTTCCTGTAAGCCTCACACACAGCCTCTGTGCCACGGCATGGGGGACACACATTACACAGCTGCATCCTCACTCCAACCATTAACTGTGTTGATTGGGCCGACAAGCCAGTGCACCGTTTTTGGTCATCGACATTATTCATTCTGGAAATGGCCAGAGCCATCCAGATGTTACTGCCTGGGAGCTCATTTCCCTGAAGTATTTTTGTTTCCTCACCAACTTCCCTGCTTGAGGTGAGGACACCCCTTCCCTGCTGGTCAGGTGCACGTCTCAGGATGAAAAAAGCAGGGCTTCTTTTGTGGAAACTGAGCCTGGCTGCCCCCTCCCTCCACTTTCTTCCTGCCTGGCTCCTGCTCCTCAGCATGGTAGAATCAGACCCTCTGCCCCCTTCCTGGTGACAGGTCCTCTCTTCTTCACTGGGCACAAACCTTTTCCCTCACTGGCTGTCACTGAGGCGAGATCAGCTGTAATCCATGGTGATGGGAGCCTTGTGATTGGGGTCTGGAGGAGGGAAGCCTGCTGGGGGCGAGGGAGGGAGGGCGACACACAGCATGGAAAAGAGGCTGGTTTCAAGCAAGCCCCCCTTACAAGCAGAGAGATGATTGCTGAGATACTGTGGCCATTGCCCAGAAGGAGAAGGTAGGGAAGTGATGGATCTTTGCTAGAAAAGAGACTTTTTTCTTTATTCTGTAATTTCTCTCTTTTTTTCCAACAGTGGATGTACATTATTCCCATCGTCCTTTTCCTAATGATGTCCGGAGCACCTGACACGGGGGGGCAAGGAGGGGGTAATGGAGGCGGTGCTGGGGGAGGGGGCCGATGACAAGACGGTGTCTTTCCCATGATGTGGAAAGGGGAGCTGTGTAAATAAATGCTACCAGAGATAAAATGACATGTCTTCTGGTTTGACTTGCGGGACTAGACGTAGCGTTGCACAGGGGTCAGTGCTGCCAAAGCCTGAGGGGAGAAACGAGCATGTCCCATTCAAAGGCCAGGGTTGGTTCATTCCCAGGTAACTGGAATACAGTGCAAGTGAGGAGCCTTCCTGAACATTGTCCACTGCACCAGAGAGACTAAAGCCTGTATTTCCAAGATTCAGAATCAGAAATGGTAATACAACCAGGATCCTTAGGACACTCAGTGGTACCCTCCATGTGCAGTGTACTACAGTTCCCAGAATCCTCAGCCTGTGTGGCCAATGCACTGTGGGTGTATGTGTAATCTAACATGTCCGGGGGGGGGGGGGGGCACCAGATTGAGGAAGGCTGCCTTAATAAAAGTTACCGCATTTCTAGGATTCTGTCCTGTCTCCTTCAAGATATGGGAACTGGACATGTGCTCTTTAAAATGTTGGGATTGTCTCCATTGTTCTTTGAATGCATCTGTTCCGAGCTTAGGAGGAAGCTGAAAACTGGTGGGGGGGGCTAGGAAAGGGGTGATACGGATGGTGTGGTGCAAGGAAGTGGCGTATAATCAACGATACGGCTGCCTTGCCTGATAACGTTGAGAACAAAGGCAAGCACTGCTGGCAGACTCAGAGGAACCTGGCGGAGATACATTTTCTTTTATGCTGGGCGCCGTGGCTCGCTCTATGGGACTGTGTCGTCGTGTCTGGAGATCAAGGCATCCCCACGGCCCCAGCTGGTACGTGGTGCCCTGGCTGCAAGGCACACCCTTGGCAAAGGAAAACCTGGAATCCAGCCATCCACAGCTTGTGTTTCCCACAGGTTGGTACAAGCAGAGATAGGAAGATCCCTAATGTAACATATATTGAGAATGGGTCTTGGATGGTGTTGGCTGCAGGCAAGCGTCTGAAGGGCTTCATGAGACACCTGGTTAGCAGGTTTACTTGCTGCAGCAGGTGGATCAGGGAGCAGCAAAGAGGAACAGCAAGGAACAGCAAGTCCAAGGCTTTTGGGGTTCCTGAGAGGGATCAGTATTCACAAAAGAGAGGTGCTTTTAAGGTATGATGGAAGAACAGTTGTGGAGCAAAAGGGTTGTAAGATGTGGGGTGCTGCCCGAAGTAATGGTCTGAGCAATAGCAGTGTAGTTCCTAAGAGGCTCTGCAGTTGTTCTGTACTAGCTACAGCAAGCAAAGCAAGTGGAGGGATAAGGGATGACTAGAGGAGGCCAGTCCTGTGGTTACAGAAAGCACGAGTTGCTACCATTTCTCAGGAAAGTAGGGTCTACCTGCCTGTTGCGACCCAGAACTCGGCCGTGTAGATCCCCCGCAGTGGTGGTCCTGGCCGGTGTTCTTCCATGCTGCGTCCCTCCGAGTGTGGGACACTCTTCTGACTTGTGGCCCAGCTTGGCTTGCTGTAGCCCCTGGAACTTCTGTATCCACAGCAACCACAAAGGATCAGAACCTGCAGTGGTAATTCTAGAATGTGGGGCAAAGGGAAATAAACCCTGGAGTGTTTGGTTCCTTGTGGGGACAGCTATAGAGTTAAGGCCCAGAATTTCAGAAGAGAAAAGCTTGATGAATTGAACTTGGAACTGGTGCAGAGAGATTCTCACTTAAAGCCAGGGTTCCTGGGCATCATCTGTGTGGAAGAAATCAGGCTGGGAGTTCTCTGAAAGAGGGTAGGGTGTAGGGAGCAGGGTGGCCAATTAGAATTAGAAGCCAATGCTCCTGCTGAACTTTAGCTCCCATCCAAAAGTCAATTCAAATTTCTAAGGATTGTTGGCTCTTTGCCTACTACAGGAGTGGGCAACTTGTTGGCCAAAATATGTGGAGGATCACAGGTTCCATGATCCCTCACCACTGGATACATTGGCTAGGACCGATGGATATTGTAGGCCAAAATGCCTGGAATACCACATCTTGCCCAGCCCTGTGCTACCAGAATCCAGTTCTTTTTACTTCAGTCTCCATATCAGATACTTTCTGTATTGGCTCCCATTGCAACTGATACTTTATATCTGAATTTGTGATGAGCAGGAGGTACCCTGCTGACCTTGACTCCTTAACATCATTGTAATGGGAGCGATATTACTTAACTGCTTAAAAGCATTTATTTAGAAATGCTGTACTGCTGCTAAGAGCTTGCAATTAAATTTTGTCAAATTCCCTGCATGCGAGAAACCTAGTATCCTGGGGAGAAGGGCACACCTGAACCTCTCTCTCTGACATCTAGTATTAAGAGAAAGCATTCAGTCATGCAAGTTGCCACCTACAGTCTTCACTAGTATATCTCCCACATTCTAAACTAGGCAATAGCCTTCCTCAGAAGCCAGGACAGACCTCCCCACAAGACCCTTTATAGCTGCATCTGGTAATCTGGCATCTATTTGAACTGCTACTAATATTTTTTTATTTGGTTGTGGTCTTCTAGATACTTTGGCCTACAAGTTACCCGCCCTTGAAGTAGGCTCTATTGTGCATTTCCTTACACTGATAAGTGTATTGTCTTTCAACAAACAGGGTTGCTAATATACCTAGACTGGGGACATGACCAGAATCCATTGTTAAAAACATTTACCATAGCCTGTGTAATTATTCAGGCTCAGTGTACACAGGCAGGGATAGTCACTAACCTTTTATACTGCATATGCCTGTGACATTTCCCTGAAAGTCTCCAGGATTCTCTCTCACCTCCAGTATAGTTCAAGCTATCTCCTTCCCTATGACGGATTTATCTGAAAATGACTGGAAATGTTTCAGGAGAGTCAGACCCAGAGCTATTTGGAAACCAGATCCAATTCTACCTGTCATCATCCCACCACCACCCAGTCCGTACTAGGGTTCACAAATCTGCCTGTTTTGTTTTTCTTCACATTCAGGTTTTTTTTTTTTTAAATGGAAGTTCTTTCTTGTCCCAAACTTTTGAGAACTTTGGTAGTAAAATCTGATCAAAACTGACCAAATGAAGTTCTACGCATTAACTCCCATCCATTTCTACCACTACATTAAATCTCCAAAAGTCCCAGCTCCCACAAATTCCCTGGATTGAGTGTGGGCTTTTTTCTTTCATTTTTATTGATGTCACGGTTTTAGCAGCAGCTTCAAGTTCCAAACCTATTGCAAAGAGAGAACATCTTCCGTCCCCCTCCCCTCTCCCACTAATGTGGGGGGGTGTACCCAAGCAATGGGGGAGAGGTATATGGCTTTTCAAAAACAAAAACAAAAACCCAGGAACAGAGGTTTAGGAAGCAGGGCTGTTAATTTTTCCTTTTTTTTGTTTTTTTTCCTCCCCGCACCCCTTTCATTCCACACCCTTATTAAAAAACAAAACCCCAAACCAACCATAAACAGGACAGAACCTCAAAGACAGAGACAAAATGACAAATGGACGTGCGCTGGGGAAGAGTAAGGGGAAAAGTCAACATTCCGAAGAAATGGGGGTGTAATTAGGGAAAGAGCGGCACAAGCAGGACTTAAATTTGACAAAACTAGGACAACTAGGTTCTCTGAACAGGCACTCTCCCAGCTTAAATCTGGGAACTGCTCCCTTGCCCAAATTGGGTGAAGGGCAGCCATGCAAACCACAGAAGAACCAAAATTAACTAGGCTTAGGGAAGGAAAGGGACAGACACAGTGTTACCCCTGTACACTTACACACAAACACAAAATAGACCAGAGTTAACAGCCTATGTTGGGAGATCCAATAGGCCCAAATCTGGCTTAAACAAGGAGGGAAACTAGGCCCAATTTGTCCATTGTGGAGCTGTTTCCTGTCACAAGCCCTCTCCCAATTTGTGTCAAGAAATTCTGAGGTCATTCTCTATGTGGGGATCACAGCAGGACATGACAGTCATGCAGTCCACTGTGGAGATGTTTCCTCTCACACCACTTCCAGTGTCATCTGCCCCTCTCTCACAACCAGGGTGGCAAGAGCAGGAAGGTCCAACATTTTCCCGTCTCTTTTTCCACTTGAGTTGGTGGTTCATGCAGATCGGGGCAAAGGGTCCTGCATGCATGCTGGCAAAATTGAGAAACCCCACACCAGACTGGGCAGCAGAAAGAATGTTCCCAATTCCTCCAAAAGGTCCATTGCGATAAGAGGAAGTAGAGGAGGGACAGCACGGAACACTCCCTCGGCAAAAGGATCCAATAATTTCTTGTAAATTCACAGCTCAGACAAAAGAGAAGTGGGTGCAGACGAATTCTTCACAAGCCAAGCTTTGTCCCCTGTTTTGTCCCTCCCTCCAAATAAGGGCTGTGTGGCTTTAACAATCAGAATGCCTAAGTGGACAGTCAGTTCCCAGACACACATTGAGAAGGTACTACAGAACCTCAGAACAAAAAGGTGACGCCCCAAAATTTCCAAACTGACCCTTCTATAACAGAGATTCCCCAGAACATGCATGTCACAACGGGCACCCCACCCCCTTATGTGAAAGGATGAGGTTGTGGGAGAGGAATCCTTAAGACTCTAGACACCAGATACACTCATGGCCCTCCTGACATGAGAAATGCTCATTGGTGGCTGCCTTTATGGCTTTAGGAAAAAATGCAACAGGCAGCGACTTCCTGGGGGAGATGGAGATTGAGGAAGGGCAGGCTCTTGCCCCCCACCCTCAGACAACCCCTGCTGGCAATTCCTCCGGGATGGTCAGAGGAAATAAACAGTCCAGAAAGTTCTGAGAGCACATCACTGGAATCCTGAAAGAAGAAGGGAAAAAAGGTGCTATCAGCTTCTTCATCTCTCCCTTCCCCCAGTCCTAGCTTTTGTGCTGAGAACTCCCAGATCATGGCCAGATTGACCCAGAATTGTAGGGTTCTTGGACTTGGAAGGTTCAATAGCTGCAGTATTTAATCTTAAGAATTTAATCAATGTATGATCCATGCACAATTGTCCTTAGGAATATTCTGATACATAGCTTGCCATATATGTAGTATATCCAGAGTTACTAATTCACTTGACCTGTTTCTATTCCTATGGTTAGAAAACACATTAATTCTGTTTATTAACAGCTGGATCTAGGACCTGTTTTCCACAAGAGAAAGGGAACTTCTAGGAAGGGAAGGCCCCTCTGCCCCATTTAGGAAGATCTTCCTCCTCCAGAAACTACAGCTCACCCCATTTAGCAAGACTTTCTGACTTTTCCCTGACCTGTCATTTGTTGTGGGGTGGAAAGGTTGTGGGGGGGGGGTGCGTGCATGGGCTGGGGGGATCCACTTCTGTCAGTGTAGTAGATAGGGTGCAAATTTGGATCCAACTCTATGTCTGTGGCGAGTTCAGGCTTCCATCCCAACAGTCACATGATGTGAATCGATTAGTGTTGGAGGTGTGTAGAAAAGACAAAAAGGTGGGGTGGACACTTTCCAGAATGCAGCTTTTGAGATAGGTTTGAAAAAGGAAGGCGTATGACTTCATCTGCAATTACGGCAGAAAATGAAGGAGTTGAGAACACTTTTTCCCTAGTTCAGAAGCTTTATTTTAATCAAACATCTTCTTGGAATGAATAAGAACTTCCTTAAATTACAGTCATTCTGCCCCATTCATAACAGATGAGGGGAGATTTGTATTTCAGCAGAGCTGAAGTTGACAGTGATGCTGAAAAATCTACCAGTTAGCTCAGGGGAATTCTTGAATGGGCCAAACTGGCAGGGTGCACCAATTGTTTAATCCCAACCTATTTATTTAAAACTAGAAATTGTCTTGTTCACAAAAGAGCAATCAACTGATAATTAATAAATTTGTTAGGATAATCTAGTCTGGACACAAGAATTCTGTGACTTGGTTTGCAGGTAATGACATAGTTCAATTAACCATGGTTTGTTGAATTGTGGGTTGTTGTAACATGTGAACCTGGAACTATGCGTTAACTAAGAGTTGTTAACCATGAACAACCCGTGAAGTGAAAGCATAGTTTGTTCTTGAGTTCTGAACTGTTCTCAGGTTGTCATGTGCAAATGTAAAATTGTGTAGAGTTCATAGGTTGTTTCACCAGGCTACAGAGACAGTGGGCAAGAATCCTAAAATGCTCAACCTCTTTACATGCCAGTACGCCTGCATCACTAAGGCATTTGGGATATAGGGAGGAAGTGGGTTTGCCTGGCATCCAGTGCAGAAATAGACCTGCCTACAGGGGAGACTGTCATAGGGCTGAACAAGATGGGAGCTATAAAAGAACCATATTTGCCTGCCGGAGCTGGTCAGGAGGGGAACTACAAGCCTGACTAGGACCAAGGGATGCTGCTGTGGTACAGCAGTTCCCAAATGGAATAGTGGGTGGTTCCATCAGGGAAGGACTCTGAGGCAGTCCAGAGCCCTACTCAGCAGAGCAAACAAGAGGATCTCCAAGCTCAGCATGGCTGACTTACCACTTTGAATAGAATAGTACAAGCAATTGCTTAATCAAGGGTGGGCATTGTGGCTGTCCTGATGTTTAGCTTACAACTCCCACCATCCCTCGCCATGGGTGATGCTGGCCAGCGCTGATGAGAGTGGTAGGCCAGGACATCAGGAAAACCACAATTGCCCGGCTTCGCTCTAAAGGGTTAGAAATCCCCGGTAAGATCTAGAGTCTAAAATTTCCTAACTATGCCATTGGGAGCAGTGCAGGTCAAAATGGAATAATGATCTCCAAATTGCTGTATCTCTTGCTAAAGTTAAGATGGTGTATTTGTTATCCCATTCCCATCTGCCAAAGGCACTCACAGTCCCTGATGGTGAAGGGCTGGTGGCAGCAGCCTTAGTCTGAATGAACAGTTTCCACAACGATGCTGGGCTTGTCCCGTGCTGGAGGATTCTTGTTGATGTAGCTGTTCAAAGTCTTCTCCTGAAGAACAGGAATAGAGGAACAAACATGATGCTCCCAGAATCCCAAGTTGCTTCCTGGACACCTTGCTGTTCAGCCCCACTGACTTCACTTTGAAATTCCAGGGGCCTTGTCTCCTAGCTGTCTAACCACTGAACTCCACCTCCTTGCTACTATCTCGCCTTCTTCAACAAGTTCTAGTCTATTAAAGCCTCATATATCTGCCAGGCTTTCAGCTCCCACACACACAGGCTATTCACCAAGAACTTGGGATACTGGCTTCTCCTCCTCCTTTCCTGTTGGACACTTGTGCTGTTGAGTCTTACTGCATTCCTCGGAAACAATGATTTATGATCAGAAGGCACGACAAAGTTCCTGCAGTGTTCCTGCACTTTTATAGCAAGTGGACAGAGTAACACACAGCTGCTTTCAGGTAGTAGGCCTGTTGTTGCATTATTTTCTGAGGGACCCAGAAAAAAGCGTGGCCCAAAAGGGTTAGGATCCATGCTGGCTATTTTGTATCACAGCAGATTACAAGTTGGAATTCAAATTTACTTGTACGTATTTAGTCGTATTGCTGAAATGGGTTGGACTTAGGTTAGTCACAAGTAACTTAACTACCAATGACTTCACTGGAGCTTCTTCTCTGGGCTAAAGTACTCAGTTAAATGCATAACACACAGCTAATCTTTACCATTTTGTTTACTTTAGTGTAAGTATGAAGGGGGCTGATCCGAATTGGGACCACCTTACAAAACTTCAGGAAGTTTAGACCTACCTACCCAATCACTTCCTCCACCCTCAAATTCCCCTCCCTTTGCAGGGACTAAACCAAACCTCCACTGATGCTAAATTGTTTTCCCTGCTCTATTTTTAGTCCCCATGAAGTGGGGGTGAATTTCAGGGGGTAGCAGTTGAGGGGGAAGGTTAAAGCCTCACCTATCCACATGCAGTGGTTCCAATCCATACATGATTAAATTTGGATCGAGCCTTTTTTCCCCTTTTTCTTTTGCATTATGCAGTTTGAAACTTCCTGGTAAAATACTGGAGCACTCTCAAATTGTTTTTGCAAGACAATACTCACCTCCACCAGCTGGTGCCAGTGTTCAATGGGTTTACGTGGATTTGCCAACATCTCGGCCCAGTGGTCCCTCCCAGGTCCATCGGCGTCACTGCCCACTCGGCACATTCCAATTACTTCGTTGTGGCCAATGCTGCAGACATTGAGAGTGATTCAGTGCTGGCGGCCTACACAGGAAGAGGGCTGGGGGCGGGGGAACACCTCAGTGGTAAACTTTCACCTCAGAATAATTTATGCATAGGAGGCATAGATTTGTGAGAGCTCCATAATTTATTTATAGCAATGTCTTTGGGGCTGGAAGAGACAAAGCTGAATGCAGAAAAATTAGCATGAGGCCATATGAGTTTTAAAGTTTATAAATCCCACCTGCTCGACTTTCAGAACTGGAAACAGTTTCTTGAGAAGTGTGGGGAGAAGAGTTAAGATGGAGAGACAAAGCTTTGTCTTCCTAGTGGCCAAATGTGTGGTGAGATTTATGATTCAGCAATGCCAATCCATGTGTGTGTGTGTCTCTATCTCTATGAACACGTTGTAAAAAAAAAGTTGCCTCTCTAAATCATTCCTTTCAAAGAGAAGAGAATAAAACCCAGGTGTGTCCTGGCCTCCAGGATTCTGCTCCCTGCTCATTTCTTCATTCTTCCAGAACCAAGCAGTCTTGGCTTTTAGCCCCACCCTTTAGTTAGGCTCATTTAAGGCCAATTTCCCTTCCAGAAATTAGGCCCGTTGAGCCCTCCCTATTAGACCAGAATTTGGGGAGCCTTGTTTTGGCTTAAGGAGCAAATTCCATCTTGGAGAGATACTCTCAGCAGATATATTTTCCAAATAGTTTCTTTTGTGAGTGGGACCAAAGCAGGCAAGAAAAATCCAATCCTCCTTTTCCACTGTTAGCAATTTATAATAGGTGTCCCTATTCTGAAGTACGTATGTATGAACAGCATTTCTATTCAAGCAGGAAAATTCTCCACATTTCTGCTCAGAGTAAACAGGATTAAGACACTCAGTAACACATTCAAATAGCATTTCTACTTGAAGGTACTTGCATCTTTACTCATAAGTAACCAGGGCAAGTCTGCATATGACTACTCTAAAGGAAACAGGACTGATCCAACAGCTTCCACCATAGACCCCACCCTGTCTGACCCACAGCGGAAAAGCTCTTATCTCCAGCCAGCTGACTGGGGGCAAGTGCTTTCCCTATTATGTCCTGAGAAAGGGCTTTTACAGTACTCAACAGGGAAAGCTCTTATCTTCAATCAGTTGGGGACTGGAAATAAGAGCTTTTCCCCCTGGCAGGGCCAAAGGAAGAAGCTGCAAGGCCAGGTGCGCAATTTTTGTCAGCCTTGTAATACCTGCAAGGCCAGAGGTTTCCCATCCCTGCATTAGACAGTGGGAAACTATGTTAAGCAGCTGGTGTGGCGTGCCCTGATAACTGTATTGTGTTTTTACTGACAAGTGCTTGTGGGATTTCTACCTCATGCCAAAATACCTTGAGTAAGAGGATGCTATATATACCTTGAGTGGTGATGGTAAGACACCATTTTTGGCCTGCTTAGGGTACCAGTCCGTCTCCCCCAGCTGTCCACAGCACTGCCCCAGCCTCTTTTCCCTGATGTCATTTGTTGGGATTAGTTACTGGCAGTAAGAATATTGCATTAAAATATGTTGGTATTTTGGCCCTGTGCCTTTGGCCCTGCCCATCACTGGGATGTTTTCTCTGAAATAGAAGTTGACCTTTGGGCTAAGAGGGTTCGATACTTCCACACTAAATGCCCCATTCTCCCCAGGAGGTCTTGTGTCTGGCTCTGCTTGGCCTTTAATAGCCTCACTCCCAAAGTCTTCGGTGCCTGAATCCCAAAAACTACGAAGACCCTTGGCACAACCCAGAAGCATGCAGTGAAAGGCCCCGGAGCCACTGCTGCCAGGTGGAACCTTATTTGCAGCCTGGAGAAAGGGCCAGAAACATATCCCACACTGCAGGAACTGGAAGAGCAATTCTGGCCATCCCTGACATCCGCTCCTTGCTCACAGAAGTTCTCACAGCTCACCAGTCATAATCCATGACTGCCAAAGTGATGCTGACGTGCTCCATGCTGTCCTGCGGGATGTCAAAAACGAGGGCTTCATTGTAACTGGGGTTGAGTGTATTCTTCTTGATGGATGTCTTGCGCTTCTTCAACCGCCTCCCTTCACACATGAGGGATGCCTTGACATAGGGATCTAGAGCAGAGGAAGCAGGTGGAGAAAAGAGGCGGATTTATGGTGGGAAAGCAATTCTTGCCATGCCCCTGCCCAGTTCTATGCCATGCTTCACCCTCTGCCTCCGTTCCACATTTATTCTTTCACAAAATATATAAAACATTCATTGGGCTGGATGCAGATTTGCACTTGGGCAACTGAGCCAGTAGAAACGAACTTCCCTATCCATCCAATACGGGCATTTGTTAGCCCCACCTACCACCCATGCATCTGAGGGGAGGGTTTGAAGAAGGGAGCTTGCTGTACATCTGTAGCTTTCTTGCATGACTTACGGGCCAGCCCAAGCAATTTTGTTGCCTAAAATGAACGGCCAAGAGGTACCCCTCCATCATTCCACATACAGAAGCCAGCTGGGTTGCCAGCTGCCCCATCTAACTTAGATACTTTATTTGAGATAACATCCTCCACCACACCAGAGGGCCATGGCATGGGAAGCTTTGGGGGAGCATGGACATGCCATGAGGCACCCCCTCCAACCGAAGGAAATGACCAGGGAACTATTTATACTGTCCCCCAAAATCTACCAGCTGAGGCAGTTGTCTCACTCTGCCCAACAACAGGGCCAGTCTTGGTGATCTTGGACCCCAACCACAAAGGATTCTAGACTATGTGCAGAGCAAACGCTTACAGCAGACTGCTTTCTTCAGGCATCTGCTGGCCTCAACACATGGAAGTGTATGCACGGGAATACATACGTACATGCATATATATGTGTGCACAGACACACACATGCATACATTTATTTATTTATTCATTCATTCCAGGAGCCCCTTCCAAAGGAACTGAGGCAAATGGCTTAGTTGTGCCACCCCAGGTGTGGAATGAGTTTTCCAGGGAGGTGCACCAAGCACCTTCTTTGCATTCTTTTCAGCATTAGGTGAAGACTTTTTTATATTCTCCCAGCATTTTGACTTAACTTCCTTTTTAATACTGCATTTTATTCTGTACTGCTGCTATGCTTCTATGCTGATTCAATTGCAGTTGCTATGTGTGTTTGTAACTGTGCATTAAATTTTTTATTTTTTCTAACATTTGTTAGCCTACCAGAGAGCCTCAGTTATTGGATGGTATAAAAATGAAATAATATAAATATGCCCAATCAAAATCTGGAACCTTCCCTCCCCCAGGCCTGTCCTAACCGCTCACCAGAAAATCCAGTCAGATCCATGGCTTTGAGATTTGTGGCCTTGATTATGGTAACTGTGAGTCGTCCAGCTGTGGGCAGGTAACAGAGGGAAAAGTTCAGCTCCCCCAAATCGGCTTTTTCCTATTTGAAATGGGAAGAGACACAAACTTGGGTCAGGAAGCTTTAAGACATGCAGTCAAAATAAATACTTCTTTGCTGGAGTGTGTAGGTGGAGGCTGGGCCGTCAAGAGATGTGGCTGCACCCTACACTGCAGATGTGGCCACTGAACAAGAGGCTGGACCAGATGCCCTCCAATAAAATAATGCTAATTATTCTGTGACAAAAGTTGCAGAAATGAAAAGGTTGCCTTGCTGGGTTCTGGCACCATTGGTCAAAGAGGCATGAATTACCTTTTCAGCAAGAACGAGGATATATAACTGACCTGGTTATGGTACTAAAGGGGGACTTCTAACGATTTTTGGATTCTGATTTTTATCAGCCCTGGAGAGCATAGCGAAGACTCTAAGATAATGGAAGTCGTAGCCCAAGAACAGCTTGGGTGTTCTACACTAGCCCTCCAGCGCTCCTGGACATAGGCCATGCTGAATAGAATCTGATGTTCACACCGAACTTCAAAACTGTCCTGAATAGCATGAATTCCATCCCTGAAAGAATGGTGCTGGAATCGTCTCCCAATTTAAATCATTTCTGTTCTACTTTTCCACTATGCAGTCTGCAAGCAGCTCATAAGAAATGCAACAGCAACGTTCCAGAAAGCAGTAAATAATAACGAAAAGGAAACATACATTCACAATAAACACAAGGGCATATTAGAGCAGAGAATAAAGAAACAGTTAGGAGCATCAATATTGCAGATTATCCATTAAATGCAAAAGGAGTTTAACTTGGCACCTAAATGAAGCAAATGCTGGTGCCTCCCTAAATTGTCCGGGGAGAACACTCCCTAATTACAGTGCCAGGTCACTACTGAGAAGTCCCTCTTGCCAGTCATCATCTGTCTTGCCTGAAGAGATGGGGATACCCAAAACAGAGGCTGTGTTGCAGATCTTAAAGATCAAATGAGAGAAGACAGTCCTCCAAGTGCTGAGGTCCACTAGGACACTGGTTCTCATTACAGTGCCTGCAGTCATCCAAACAGCTTCTCAGGCAATATTTTCCCCAGTTTTTAAAATATGTGTGTATGATTTGTATGCAATGCACATAATTTTCTTAGACTTCAATAAAAGTAGCATATTTCAAATAAGTATCTACATATTTGAAGATGGCATATATGTGCCCAACATTCATATAGTGAAAGTGTTGTAAGGTCCTCAGTGTACTGCATTATAGGAAATTAGCATTTACCCTTCCGATATTGTAATATTAATCTTTTAGTTGGCAAAAGGGCATGGGGAATCATGCTGACCATTTGTTAATTTCCATACAACAGGTAAAAAGGGCATGTATATCAGTGAATATTAAAGACGGTTTCAATACAAAAAATATCTTTGTAATAGCTTCCTCCCATGAAGAAGCAGCTACTGAACATTGCCAAAACATATGTTTACAGTACAATTAGCTGTATTGTACTGCCAGCAATTACTTGAATAAGACAGCCTGTTATTAAAGAGAAATGGTGGTGTCCAATAGACACAAAACAAATGTTTTTGCTCAATGAGATGCAGCCTAAGATCCATACACACAACAGACTCCAAAGTGGTGATTCACTAATTAGGCATTTTGTGGTGGTTCCCACTGCAATTTCTCAGTTTACCATGTGTGCCCACAGGTTCAAAATACTTGGGAACTCCTGCTTTAGGAAAATAAAGTTTAAATATGACATTCCTCCCTCTTTCTAATATCAGTGTGAAACTATGTAGCCACCTTTGCCTTTCCTCCTGCGTGCACTTCAATCCAATCCCATAGCATACGTAGATATATATTGCACATCATGTCCTTTCTCTATATTAAAATATCACACATACACAAAATGCAATGATGTAGAATAACAAGATATTAGATAACTTCCCCCCAACAGCCAAAACTGAAAGAGTCAACGGTAGTCTGGAATGGATCCCAATTTAGCCATGCTTAGACCAGTCTTACTGAAAACAGTGGGACTTAGTTTAGCCATTACTAAGTTCCATTGCTTTCGATGGGTTTAAAGTTAACAAATACCCTATTGATTTTTATTGGTCTACTTCAATATGGCCAAACTCTAGTATTTGCTCTAAGCATGACTTTAGACTGGATACAACCCATTGTCCATCCAGGGAGCATTATAAGCTCACAGATCAGAATAGAATTCAGATTATATTTCCATATTCTCAGATTAAAGCATGATGATGATAGTACTGAATTAGTAATTACTCATTTACCTCAAGGAAGTTTTGTTATGCTGGGTAATACATGCTCATGTTTCAAGTATACAAGAACATACACAAATAAATATTATTCCTTTGTAAAGAAACTCTAAATGTTAACCCTCTTCCATACAGAGACAATAAAACTTGGCACATTTATTCTTCTACAAAGACTAATCAAGGAAAATCCATTCACCCACATAAAAAAAAACAAACTCGGAGACACAAGGCACCTGCTACATTTCAAAATATTGTTGGCTTTCAAAGGATTTTAGGAGATCATATCAATTTTGTGAATACAAATGTGGCAGGATATATTTAAGTTTTCTTTAAAAGGTGGGGGTATGACAGTCCAAATATGTGCATATATGGAAGGCAAATCCTGTTTTCAAAATGCATTTTTACCAACATTTGCAATTAGGGAGAACTACCACTGCAAACTAATCTAAGTCCAAAGACTTCCAAGTATTCCAGAGACGGGGTATATTCCCTCCCCTCCATAGTTAATTCCCTTTGAAGGAGAAAAGCCAGATGACTGGTACGTAAGTTCTCTCTGCCTTTGGGGATGCTGTGGTAGATTGCCAAGATTCAAGTCCCAACACAGATGTTGCAATTCTGCTGATTCAGACAAGTTTCTTGGGCTGTTAAAATTACATTAAATGTATATACTACCTCTTCTCTTGGGAGGAGCTCAAGGTAGTTTACAAAGGCTGAGAATTTGTGACTGGCCCAAAGTGAATTGGTGACTTATGGCCAAGTGAGGACTAGAACCTGGATCTCCCAGGTCCCCAGGGTAACACACTAACCACCACGTCCCACTGGCTCTCCTATGCCCTGTTTCTATCATATTTGATTTCCAGTATCATGGGGTGTTAAACCCCCACTGGATGTATAAACCTTTGTGCATAGTATTCAGATGAAAAAAAAAAAAAAAAAGCCAGACAGCTGAATGTGTAACACTTTGCACATATCCTGAAAGTTAGTTACAGAGGCTACAAAGAACATGGATAAAAATGACAAACAGCTCCCTTCTTCCCACCTCTACAGCAGAAAGAACACTGTATCCTGCAAATATGACACTAACAAGCGTTTGAAGATCTTTGCCAATTTTACTTCCCTCTCTTTCCTGTTGGTCTTTGCTTTATTTGTAGGGGGAAAAGATATGGCACAGTCAAGTATGTGTATGGGAATCACAGAAATACATAGATATTCAGAGAAACTGTGGCTATCTAGACTTTCCACAGAGTTTCTATGGGCATTTGAGACCAGAGGGTGGAAAAGCTGAAATGATGAATGAGTATATGGATCCTGTGTTTTTGCCAGTACAAATGACCCACAGAACTATTGCACATTTAGTGCTGAGCTTTCTGAGACTGGTTGCTGGCTTCACTCTGTGTGTGTCAGAGAGACCGAGCAAGCAAGCAAGAGAGTGCATGCATGTACATATACCAGGAGTGGCCAACCCTTTTTCTATCAAGCTCCACATTCCCTTGCAGGTAACCTTTTAGGGGAAACAGATGTCTTGCTAGGCTGGGCTAGAACCAAAAGTGGGTGGGCCACTCCTTTTTTCTGTTTCTGTCATTTCCTTTCCTTTCTCTCTCCTTGCCCAGCAGCCTGAAGGGAAAGGGACAGATCTCTCTTTCCAGAGGTCTGAACTGGTTGCATGCAGTGGACTTTGGGCATTAGGCCCAGTGCTGCATGGTCAAATTAGGGACCATCAGGATAGGGAACGCCAGTGCCTACTCTGGTTGAACTCCCTCCCTCCATCCATCCGGGCCTCCTATTGCTAGCTGGCATCAACTGCACTGTGAGGAAGAGGGAGCAAGAGAGACAGAAGCAGGCAAACTTTGTCTTCCCTCACATCCAGCTACCTGGGAGAGGAGAAGAGAAGCAGGGCCATCCTACCCACTCGGCTGAAAGTCCCTCCCCGTCCCTTTTTGTTGTGCAGCATGCCCTTTTAGACTAAGCCTACGAACAGTGACTGCCTTGTTAAGCTACTCCAGGAGTCTTCATGTGAGTGAGGAGGAGGTAAAATACTTGCAATGACTAGATAATGACAAAGTGCCTAATCCTGACATATTCAGAACTTCAGGAAGCCCAAGGGTGTTTCACACCTGGCTCCCAGGGTTTCTTTTCTCCTGCCCCCACCCACAAGAAACAGAGCACCTTTTCCCATCAGTGGCCTTTAGGTTTAGCTTTCACTGAAGTGGTTAACCAGTATCTGGGACACTGTAAAGAAGTGGCTTCAGGCATTGAATGCCCTTCCTTAACTCTCTGCACATAGAAAGCTATCATGTCAAGGAGAACACTGGGCCAGAACCCTTCTCCCCAACAACCTACATATCTACAAGCAGGGAATCTTTTCATACAGAGGCCAACACAGTCATGCAGGTCTCCCACTGTGGTCTGTAATACCAGAGTCAGGATTCCTCCACCCCCACCCCACAGTCTGCTTAAGGATACTTAGGCCTTAAGCTCCTTTCCAGGCTAGACTATTGTTGACAATGCTCCTTAAAGCTCAGACTTCTTGCCAAGTCTAGTAATTTGGAACACAGTCTGTCTACAATTTAAAAGATTCCTTCCATATTACTTATTTACTTAAAATATTTATGTGTCATGGTGCAGTGAAAAACCTTCCCAGGGTGGCTCATATCTGAACAACAAAGAGATCATCAGAGAAATCAATAAAACCACAATCTAAAACTAAAACCAGTAAAACATTAAAAGAAAATCATATAATGTCCTAGCCTAACCCTTTCCTGGCATTCAGTTTCCTA